GGGTGAGGCTTGAAGGAGGCCCTAAACCCTAAACCCTAAATCCCAAACCTTATAGTACCCTTCTAGAACCCTTTATAGACCCCTGATAGTACCTTTCTAAGGGTTCCTCTGAAGGTGCTGCAGGGCGTCCGTGCACGGCTGTATAAGCATGTAAACATACTATAGACATGGATTTGGGGATTATGGTCACTCTTGGCGGGATAAAAAGCCTGCCGGGGATGCATTTCGAAGAGTCTCCAATACTTCGGGGGTGCCACATATATCGCTTGGGTAGGGTTCATCGTTTAGGCTTACAGGGTTAAGGGCTCCCAGTTCGCCTGCTTTTATGAACAGTCAGCTCCTACTTCGTGTTCGAGACATGCAAGGGGATAAAAGCAAAAGACTCCTCCATACTTGGCTGAATCTGATGTTGACCTTCCCGCAGAAATTAGATTGCCGCGTTGTTCGTAAGACTAGTGGAAGTGAGGGCGTGACGGTCGTGACGATTGCAATATGGAAGGTTTGCGATTTTAAACGGACGCAGAAGGAAAAACCTTGCGCGACACGCAGAGCTGTGGGGCCTTGGCCTTGTACAACATCGACAATGGACAACTCACCAACAACACGACCAAGCCGACAAAGACGACCATTATTAATGCAGATTCGGGTCACAACCAATATGGTATATATGGTAGTGACAAGCCTAAAGCCGCGATCCCCGGCAATCCAGAAACCCAAGCCCAATACTCCCTCGAGCCGGCGCGCGATCTGCGCCACCAAGAGCCGATCTGAGAGCCTTAAAACCTAGCCTAGCCCAAGGGGTCCTAAGCACCAATATAGTAGAAAGTAAGGTACCTATATTAGGACTTACTATTATGATTTGGGACGGTATTCCAAATACCAGTACCTACCTTTGGGTAAGTGTTGTAGTCCAAATTGTCGGCTCTGCGTGCAGGCAGGGTGCCATGTGGCACCGCGGAGATCAAAGAATTCATACAGGTCCGGCATGTTCCACCATGAGCTGGAACCAATTCCATATGCGACGCTTGAAGCACTACCGCTCAAACCTGACTACCAAGTTGAAGACAAGATCAATGCTCTGGTGGCTTCATGTGGGTGGTTGTCAAAATTACGGTCCCTTTTTGGGTACCCAAATGTATTATGTGCCGTATTATAAGAAGGACCCCAAAATGGACCCTAATTTTGACAACCACCCATGTGCCTTGTTGCCTCGGTTCTCGTTCGCCTGGATGGGGCTCATGGGCTGAAAGGCTCGGATGCCGTGGTTCCGGGCCATGTCACCATGTCACCTATGCATTTGGTACGGCCCCCATACAGTAAGAGTCTATAAGAGTGGGGGCCATACCATACCCAAGCCTATGCACATGCTGTTCGATCTGAGCTCAGGACATGCAGGCAATTGAAGCGAGTTTCAACATGTATTGGGTCTCCAGGGTAGTTTAGACTTGAGGGTTCAGCATTCAGGGTGCAGGCTTTGTGACATCCAATATTTTGGTGTGTTACATTAGGGAGTATTGCCATAGTTGAGAAGATAACTGATAACTCCCATTTTTTGGTGTACGGTGACTGCAGGGTGTTGTCCGTCAGCTGTAGCCTCTTCCCGGCTGACAGCAGGCGTAAACAAGCCCTACCTATAGTCTCCATTGTAGTTCCTTTTTGGGGTTACCTTATAGGATCCTTAATATATAATTGGTTAAACCAAAAAAAGGAACTACAATGGAGACTGCAGGTATACTTCTAAGCCATAACCCGGAACTAAAGCAACCCTGAGCCTCTGCGCACAGCAACCGAACACCCGAAGCCGCGCATCCTCTGTCACTGCCTAGCCGCCCACTAGCCGCCCAAACCCTAAATCCCCGAACATGCGGCCCATTGACCGTATAGGACCCCTCGTAGTTTGTTAGGAGGAACCCTGATAGGATTCCTTTTTAAGTACGACTAACCCTTACAGTCACAGCCGAGACAAGCCCTCAACCCACCTAACTAACTTAAGCCCTGAACCCTAAACCCTGTCCTGAAGACTAAACCCTGATCGGTTTTCACCCCTACAGTAGAAGCCAGAAAGTTGGAATATCATTATCGTAACCCCTTTAAGGTAAATTATAGGGGATCCAACCATTAATCCATATTCCAACTTTCTGGAGTTCCCTATAACCCTTATACTAAAGCCTGGCCCGAAACTCTGGGAAGCCGAGACGCTGACAGGAAGCCAGGCCTAGTCTGGGTACGCAGCAGTTTAGGGTTTAGGGTTTAGGGTGTAGGGTTTAGGGGTTTAGGGTTTAGGGTATATTGGGGTCATACGGGCTTTGTGCTCGTTTTGGTTTCAGGTGCTGGGATTTCGATTTAGCGATGTTTATGGCTTTGGGGTACCATCCTACCTGTCGGGTATCATGGGGAACTAAAGGTTAACCTTTTTGGTTATATAGGGATTAGATAGGGACTATACTACCCAAAAATGGTTAAAGGTTACCTACTCGACTACTAGGCCATGTTGGGTTCATCAGGGCTTTAGGTTTTGGTGTTTTGTCAGGTGTTGGGGTTTGGATGTAGCGCTGTTTAAGCTTTAGGGTACCATGTCGGGTTCATGAAAGCTCTAACGTTTGGGGTTTAAGTGTTTTGCTATGCGGCTTAGGGCTTTAGGCTTTAGGGAACGATGTTGGGTTAATGTGCGCTATGGGGTTTAGGGTTTTGGGTTTAAAATTTGGGGTTTCGGCTTTAGGGCTTATAAGATTTTGGGAGCCATGTTGGGTTCAGAAGGGCTTTAGGCTTTGGGGTTTTGGGGGTTCTGGGTTTAGGGTGTCGGGGAAAATGAGATCAGCCCCGTGAAGACGGTCCGACACTCAAAAGACTTACATGTCAGGAACCATGTCAGGTTCATTCATACGGGCTTTAGGGCTTGGGGTTTTAAGGGTTTTGGGTTTGGGATACAGGGTTTAAGGCCTTAGGGTTTGTAATATAGAGTTTAGTGTTTCGTGTTTCGGGAGCCATGTTGGATTCATGAGGGCGCCAATTGGGGAGTGTTAATAATTAGTGTAGGTTTTCTGGGGAATCTTATACTAGAGCTTTATATTGACCAGAAGGGAGACTGCTTGCTTTTCCGATCCCTATATTACGGGATTACTCTCTCCGGCCTTCCTGGGATCTTGCACTGTTTTGCAGATCAGGGACTTTCAGTGGTCTTTGGATTTGCTTCCTTTAAAATTCAGATTCAGGCTTTCACGCTGAGCCGAGCCTTGGGGAGAGACGAGTTGCCTTGTCTGGATTACCTACATTTGTCATTTTGAGGGCTCTTGTCCGTCTTTAGAGCATGTTTGACTGGTTTAACCAATGACTGGGTCCTGAGTCTGGGGCGCCCTGCTTGGAAAGAAATAATAACTAGGCTCCACTTCACAAGACAATCAAGAACATATGGGGCATAGTAGACAAGGGTCTATTCTTCCGACATCCTGCATAACTGCCAGTGTACATCCCTTTTAACACGAGTTTGGGGTACGTACCCTGGGCATAGCCATCATGAGCCGACATGTAGAACTGAGGACTCAGCGGTTTGGGTACATGCTCTGTCGTTGTATTCCTTGTGTGTGTCCAATGCCATCACATGTCCCCAAGCGTTCCCATGCAACATTCTCTAGGCAACCGTTCGGAAGATGAAGATCAAGCTCGTGGATGCCGCTCGGGTTTGGGGCAGAGGTCGTCCATTCAGACAAGTTTCTGTTCCCCTGAATAAGAGAACCGTGTTTGACCGGTCTACAGCAAGGTCATCAGCCGCATAGAAACTTCGTGTGCCGTCCGCGATTCTAGGGTGCAGCCGATGAAAGAATACGGCCTTGCCTATTCCTTCTTATGGAATAAGGGAGTTTCCGAAATTGGGGGTACCTTATGTTGGAGTCCTTGTGTTAAGGATCCTACTATGTAAGGTACGATATCACGGTCCTCTATTGTCGGAAGCTCTTATACTGCAGAGCATGTCCGTCAACAATAGTAGCGGGGTCTCAGAAGAATCGAGCCCCATACCCTAACCCCGAAGACCCCAAACCCCTCAACCCCTAAAGACGCCGAAAGCCTAAACCCCAATGCCCTTAAACCCCAAGGCCCCCAACCCAGTGAGCTTATGGGGCGGCCTCCCTTTTTTTGTCTCCGGAAATTCTTCTGCCAGCTCAGAACGGCTCCTGGCCCAGCCCAAAACCCTGCCCTAGAAAAACAGTCAAGGTCTACTCCTTGATTGAGGTCCTTCGGGCTGACCCCTAGTAAGCTCGTAGAATTTGTTGGAAGACAGCAGAAGGGTGGAATAGGGTTGGGGAGGAACAAACTAAACGTGTAATTCACAAGGGCCATCGGAATGCCAATACGCTGACCGTCGACCCTGAACCCAAGCCCCTAACGACAGTATTATAATGCCTTAAAGGTTTTTTTTTGGAAGTTGAACCGCAAACACTCATTCCACGGATTCCACGAAGTTTAAACCTAAGATCCTAGACATTCCTAGACGGTCACTTCCTCACCTTCAACCCCGAACCCTAAGCCTCAATTCATTGACCTTGAACCCCAAACCCTGCTGTAGTACCACATTCCCTGACCCTTCAACCCATGAACTTCACTTCCGTTACCAACAACCCAAAGCCCGACATTGCTAACCCAAAGCTTTAGACAAAGCAGATCCTAATTCCCTTACCCTTACAACCTTGCGCACTACTTCCTAAACCCTAAACCGTCGCCCCAAACCCAGGATCCGGATCCCCTAGTCTTGGAAGTCTCCAATCTTGAGTCCTACTTCCCTCCTTGACCGGGAGATGGAAAGCTCCACCGTAGTCTGGGTTCTTGTCAAATTAAAGATACCACAGTTGTGATCTACAGTAAATAGTGTGTGTGTGTGTTCTGTATTATGGCAACTTAAATTCAACCCCTTAACAAGAACCCAGTAGTGTACATTCAGCTCGTATTGTTGGACCTCGAAAAAAGTATTCCTGATCTTGAACCATCGAGCACTAAGCGAGCACCCATCACTTTGGCGGCTGCAGCTGCGTTTGCAGCTCCCGGTCAAGAGTGTCCTTGGCCAACTGCATCAGAAAGTCTTGGGATAAAACAGGTGGGCTTGGACCTGTACTATAGGGGCCTGAATCATTACCAATACTATTTTGGAGGTTCCTTAAAACAAAATTTGTGTAATGGGCCGCCAAACCGTATTCAAATAATTATGGCCCCTATATTAGCGTTTCTGAGCTTGCAGGTTGCTAGCCTCCAGGCTCTAGACTTCAAGGCATGGCTTCGCTTGCCAGATTGAAGCTTGGGACGCTACCACTCATAGGCCCCAAAGTAGCTACTTTTGGGGGTTCATATGTAGAATCCGGCTTAAGGTAATTCGAAAAAGGAACCACTCTGGGGCCTATGGATAAGAGCTACAAACTCGATAGCCCAAACGGCTTAGCTTACTTGTCAGGCTTCAGAGATTCAGGTTGACAGGTCCAGGGTTGCGGGATGCAGCCTTAATCTAAGCCCTAAACCACACTCCTTAAACTTCTGCTTAAACTCTAAACATAGATCTGCTGATCTACCTGTGCAGGTATAGATGTTCGCACACAGGTAGGACGGACAGATTGATAGATGTAGGAGCCCTAACGAAATCAGATTCCAACTTGTCAACCCAGTCCTCCAGCCTCCCCGGTGGGAGTGCCGTCCTCTTGGAATACAGTTACGATCGTATTACAGCATGTGTGTGTGAAGAGTGGAGGTCGGAGTCTAGGAATGTGAATGCTTGTCAGGATTGTGGCTCCTGTAAACCCTAAGTCCCAGGCTTCAAGAGTTTGGGGAGTTGTTCTTCGGGATAAACTCGGCCAAGCCATACAGTCAACGAGCTTGGAAACTCGTGCAACTCTCAAGGCCAGAGTAAAGGGTGTAGATTTGAGGGTTTGGTTCCGGATTCTGCCAGCAGGGAGCAGCAGTAAGACGGAACTTATGCAAGAAGGCAGGCGCACAAGGGCCAATGCTGTCAAGCTGCAAGAAGAGATCGTGCACATCCTGGAAAGCAATTGTAAGCGTGTAGGCAACGATTCTGTGTTCAGTGCGTCATTATCCGTATCCCAAACTAAACCCGAATTTCATCAATAACAGAACACCCAGCACCAACAGTCTGGCCAAGACGACCTGCACAAAATCAGAACACCCTGCACGGGGACCAACCAGCCTTTCAGCCACAGCCCTGCACGCAAACTTGCCTCCGTCCTCTCCTCAATGGAACTAGGATACCCAGTAACCCAAGAATCAAAAGGCCTCTCTTTTTGGTATTGGGTAACTTTATAAGGAACCTAGGACGACAAAAAGGGCATAAGGGTACTACTGGGCATCCTAGGGAACATACCCGCACAGGGGGGGGGCTGTATCTTATGGGACTTAGCAACTAGGCTTGTAATAAAGGTAACCATACTTATGACTACTTGTAACCCCAGTTAAGGTACTTATAACATGGGCAAGACACTGTCTTAATACGAACAAACTACTTATGTAGACATAAGTACATATACGCATCGGTGAGTATACATCTAGGAAAATTTGCATTTGCATTGCCCAATGGTTGTTCGGGGAACCCACAGTACAGGCGCCCACAGCAGCAAGGAACATATGCTGAGTTTCCAAGTGCCCTGAACCACAGCGCGTCTCAAACTTTATGGGGTTAGGGCTTGAGGCATAAGTTAAGTCTTCAGCGACTCCGGTTTAGGACTCAGGGAGTGGTATCAAGATTCGTGATTTCGAAAGCCTCACTTCTGACGGTTTACGCTCCACCGGGTTGCAGGTGACGGTTGGGGATGGTAAGCCCTAAGTCCTGCCTCCTGCAGACATCCAGAGTTACTTCGGAGCTTCTATATGTGATTCCAACCCTACAGAACCTAACGTGCAGCCGTTTTAGGGTTTGGGGTTGAAGACTCAGGGCTTATAGGGCTTAGGGCATCTCCCATTCAAACAAAATGCAAAAGGTGTCCTGCAGCTACACCACGGGCCGAGGCCGCAAGGGCATCGGAGTAGGAAACCAAGTTTGCCCTCACCTGAAAAGGCTCGGGATTTACGGCCAGTTTAGGGTGCTTTACAGGATTTAGGGCTTAAAAGTTTAGGGCTAACGATTTAGGGTTTAAGGGTTTAGGGTTTATAAAGGATCTATATAAGGGATTTAGGGCCAACTTAGAGTGCTTTTAAGGATTTAGGGTTGAAGGGTTGTGGCCAAGCGCTAACCCAAACGCCATTCCACTCCTGAGACACGTACAAGGCCCATAAGACCCAGAGTTCATGAGTTAAGTCCCAAGTGAAAGTTTCAGTAAATGGTGCAAAACCCTAAATCCTAAACCGAATCACTACAACAGCGCTAAAGTGACAGGATGCTTACAAGAATAGACCGGCCTTACAACTAGAACAGGGTTTTTGTGGATATCGTATAGCGTAGGGCTCTGAAAAAGAACCCTAATGACTAGTACCAGTGAGAATCGGGGGCTTCTATATTCAGTTCTTATACTATACTATACGTATACTAACCCTGATAGCAAACTTGATAGGAACCCATACAGTAATAACCAACATAGTACCCTGAAAGTACCCCTTGCAATAACCGTGATAGTACGCCTTACGGTGCCCTTTGCAATAACCCTTCTGGTACCTTTAGAACACCCCTATACCCTAAACCCTAAAACCCCAAACCCTATGGGTGGTTGAAAAAATATTATGGTCCCTTTTGGGGTCCTTAATATAGTACGCCACCTAATAATCAGGGTACCCCAAAAAAGACCCTAATTTTGACAACTACCCCTTTAGAGGTCTAGAGCTTCTAAACCCCAAACCCCTAAACCCTAAACCCCTAAACCCTAAACCCTGTCTGGAACTTCTAATCTTTGAGCCTCGGCTTCCGCCATCTGCTCGAAGAGGCTCAAGGCTTCCTGCCACCGCCCAGGAAAGACCTGGCTTCTTGAGGGCTTTAGGGGCTAAGGGCTGCAGGGGTTTAGGGTTTAGAGGTTTGAGGGTTTAGGTTTTGGGGTTTAGGGCGTTGGGGTTTAGGTTTTGGGGTTTCATGGTTTATGGGGTTTAGGGTTTGGAGGTTTGAGGGTTTAGGGTTAGGGGTGAGGGTTTTGGGTTTAGAGGCTCAGGGTTTTTGGGCTTCTGGTTTAGGGATTTGCGGGTTTGAGGGTTTGGGGCTTTGTCGGATTTCGGGTCTACGGCTTTAGGAGTTTGAGATTGGGGTTTAGTGAGGCTTCAGGGTTTGGGGGGGGGGCTTCGGGGCTTTGCGAGGCGATAGAGTTTATGCAGGGAGGAAAATAGCGGGGAGGGAGGCTTCAGGGTTTTGAGAGACATACAACCAGGCTACAACTCTTCATGTGTACGTTGACGGTTGACAATGTTGCGATGCAGTGACATTGACATGTTTGAGTGTGGCTGTGCGCGAAAATTCCTACGAATCTCTGTGCGGCCCACTTTTCTGGATGTGCTTTGAGTTTATACAACCTACACAGCAGGTTCGCATGTGATAACCTTCGCATGCTTATTTGTCTGTGCACCGTCCGACATATGCAGCTGCGTGAGCACACCGGGCCCACACACACACACACGCACATGCATGAGTAAACCAACTGCCAACACATATCTGTACGCATGTATGCGTGCATGGATGGATGGGTCAGACATGACAGACAGACGGGCAAACAAGCAGACAGATAGACAGACTGACACGAAAGGCCAGACAGACAGACAGCCACATGCCCGTGTTGAAAGTTGTAAACCGATGTTTCCGGGCTCAATTGGGCTAGTCGAACCCCTTCAAGACTAGGCTTCTGCCTGTGATTTAGTCCAATTTGTGAGCTCTCTAGCGTCAAAGCGCCTTAGGAATCGACTGCTTCCCAGATCATTCAGTTCAGCCCGAAACTTCGGCATCTGAACTCAAAAGCTTCAAATGCAAGAAGTCAAAACACAAAAATGGACGCCAAGCTCCACCGAAACCACCGGAAGGGCTAAATCCAGAGCCGCCTTAATCCGAACCCTGTAAATCCCAAATCCTATGGCCGTGTTACCCCCAGCGGCCCGCAGCCACCACCCCGAAGCTCCCAACACGAAAGCCTGTGAGGTTCGCATGCCTACAGATCCCCATACCACATATAGGAAGGACAGTCGTGAAACGATGTAGATGGAGGTTTTGGGTTACTGCCCCAATCGCTAGGATACTCCCTAGAGTTAAAGTTGAGTAGTCAGGGTTTCCAAGCTGATGGTCCGCCCATACTGAGGCTCTCACACAAGCTCCAAGGCAGGCATTGAAAGCAAGCAGGTTGGGTCGAATTCCATGTGCCTGCCGCAAGCTGCTAATCTGGGACCAGAATTACCGAACAATCGTAATACAAACTCATAACCACGCCCGACTAAACTCCTTTCGAAATAAAAGTGGTACGAGCCAGACACACAACCAAGTTTCGAAGTTCGGAAACATGGGCAGATAGGTAGATAGATAGATGGGTAGGTAGGTGGGCAGGCAGACGGGCAGACATGGATAAATATGTGTGGGTATATACATTATGCAGATGTGTGCGTACATATATATATATATATATATTATATTTCTCATGCATGCATACATATTCATAGCAGGACTCCAGGACAAGTCCGAAGTGTTCGCAGACATAAACGACGCTACATGCCCTAGGCCATACAAACCTCTACAAACGACCCATAGGTGCGGACCTGCTTTGCGCAAAGAGCTTCGAAACTCTCTAGCCGTAAATGCTTCAGGATTTAGGGCAGGATGGGCAGAAGGGGTTAAGGTAGAGCTTCTCCATGCACATCTGCCCCAAACTGTTCCGAACAAGGCCTTCACCGAAACCAAACACGTGGTATTGACCCTAAGACCCAGCGTGAAACGATAGTATGATTATGTAGAGATACTGAGGAACCGTAAGGAATAGCATTGGAAACTATTCAGGCTTCTAGACTGCCAACACCAAGCGGCCTCCATCGACTGCCAGTGCTGCAAAGCCTGACACCACCGGCCCGCCGTAGCGCAAACCTACGAAACGCCACAGGGATCAGGTTTACGACTTGGAGTGCTAGGTCCTAGACAATCACGAGAGGAGTGCCCGGTTTAGGGCTTGCCATCTAGGGCTGTAGCATGTTGGGCTCTACAAGTAGGGCTTTCTGAAGAGAAAAGTTTCCGGAATCACTTCAACCTGTTGGTGCGGGAACCGTATGCGACCTTTGTAGCTGGAATGCAGAGACATGGGAGTTTCCGAAAATTAGGGGTACCTTATTTGGGGTCCTTATAATAAGGATCCTACTATTTCGGGTATTATAATAGGGTCCCCTATTTTTGGAAACTCCCACATGGTATCTATTTCCAAACGGCTGGCGCAACTGAGGGCTCTGAAGGAAGAAACTGCTCGTCTTCCGAGGTCCGAGAGATGGTTTAGATTGCTTCCCAGAGAACCCAATACCCCTTAAATAATATACCTTAAATTATAGGGGTTTTAATATTATGATTTAAGGTATATTCCTTAATTGAGGGATATTGGGTTCTCTGGGTTAGCATGGCAAGTGGGAAACATTGGAGTCCTTCACTGCTGGGATTTTAGAGTGCAAGCCGGGGCACGGTGAGCATGGAGGTGAAACTGATCCTCGGGTGGGAGGCCAAAAGGGGGTTTAAGATTCTTGGGGTAGGGATTCCTTAATATGAACCCTACTAGGGGAACCCTAATCCCTACTAAACCCTCATAGGCTAAAACCCCTTTCCAAGGTTAACGGAGGGACCCTTAATAAGGACCCCTAGGTATATACCCTTAATATAGCTATTATATGTTCATTATATAGCCCATTATAGGGTAGGAGTCCCCTTTACAGGTCCCTCCTTTTCCCCTTTGACTCTTTGGCTTCCTATGATCCTCGGGTGGGCATCTCAGGCCGAGATCTTCGCGTTCAACGGTCAGGGGTTTAGGGTTTAGGGTTTAGGGGTTTAGGGTTTTCACTCTTACCCTATCCTTCCAAGGACCTCAGAGTTAGGGCCCTAGACCCCTCCTTCCAACAATAAGGTCGCTAGAGGTGTAGGGTTAGAGAGTCTTAGAGACAATACAGGGGCCTGAATCATCATTAGAATAGCGTTTTGGGCCCCGTTATACGATAATACTTATACTAAGGAACCCCAAAATAGTATTTATAGGTAATAATAAGAGCCCCTATAATGCTTCTTCAGAACTTTGTTCCTTGGCTAATCCAGGTTCCACGTTCGGGAAAGGTCTGAGATCTAGGCAAGGGCTTCATCATACGCAGCTCAACACAAAGCAATGCTCGTCCTCGCGCCGAAATACCAAACCACCCAGCTTGCATATCCCTAAGGGACCATGTGCCCAAATTGTATATACTGTGGGCCCAATGTACCTGAAAAGGGAATACTTTAAGGCCAAAGTATATGCTATTTGGGTAATTACATGGATCCTTAGGATGCTCTGAACCAAGTGATAGATATCGCGAAATTCGCTAAATATGGGGATCAAAAGGGATGTTGTGCTATACTTCTGTGGGGATTACATAAGGATTGTTAGCTTCTGACTAAACAAAGCGAAGACAAGCCCCTAAACCCTGAACCGTACACGCGAGACGCCTGAACCCTAAACCCTAAAACCCTAAACCCAAAGTCCCTAGACCCCTAAACCCCAAACCCGATGACCCTTAAGCCCAAAACCCACCCTAAGCCCCTAAATCCCAGCCACTAATTTAAGCCCCAAACCCTGAATGAGGGTTTTCCTGCAGAGATCATAGATGTGATTCTTCACTGTGCTAAACTCAGCTGGGGGATCGAACAATTGCACACATACACACACACACACACACATATATATATATATATAGATGGATGCATACACTGATTGCAGTGGTCTCTGACAGCCACGGCTCTGCCGTTCTAAGATCATTGCTCGGGCCTTTCTGCTGACAATCTCCAGATCTTAACCTGTCCAGATCTGAAGCTGAAGTGCGCTTACGGACCTTATTGGCCAACATAGAAATCACAACAGTATGCGCTTTTCAATACAAGCACTAGGATCATGTCCAAACCTGAAAGGGAGCCCCTCTAGTTGCCAGGGGTCCCACACCGGCGTTTCGGCTTCATGGGAGCATACAGGGTGCTTATGACCGAAATTTCGCCCAGGATCACATCCGGAAGGAGCATGCGCCCTTGCAGCTCGGAGAGAAGAAGAGAAGCTGCTACCTGGGCGGTTGTCAAAATTATGGTCCCTTTTTGGGTCCCTACTATTATAGTACGGCACCTAATATTTAGGGTACCCCAAAAGGGACCCTAATTTTGACAACTACCCACCTGGGTTTAGGCTCGAAAATTGAGGGGTGGCGGGAAGACCATGAAGTTCTTAACTTTGAAGCCGATCCATCGAGGTCTCTCTTTGAAGCATCTCTTGCAAGTGAAGCAAAAGCACACCGACACCATGAAGGCTTGTCTCACCAGCATCACAATAACCCTCCATGTAGCCATATAGTATATAAGTATATACATATATACTTAATTAGGTCTTAAAGAGGTTCCTGTATAGCTACTTTAAAAAAGCCTAAGTGTATACTATATGGCTACATGGAGCCTTAGGGTAGCAGAGACTAGAGCATGGCTTCGTACGGCAAGCATCCACTAACCTAAATGCGGCGCTTCGGCCCGAGCCATAAGCATCACCCTAACCTCTAAAGGGAACTCCAGAAAGTTGGAATATGGTTTCAGGGTAGGATACCCTATAATTTACCATAAAGGGTTTAGGATAATCATATTCCAACTTTCTGGCTTTTACTATAAGGGCTTCGCAAAATGAACTCGGAAAGGAATAAAACAGAGAGGCCTTCATAATTAGAATAGGGTTTTGGGGTATACTATAGTATATCAATAATATGGAGCCCTAAGAATAATGTTGGTATGTATTAAAGCTTCTATAGTACTATAAACGAGGGTTCAAGTTCAGGGTCATCCTCTTTTGGCCTTCTAGCATGGATCCTGTAAAGCCTTGATTCAATTAGGCTCGTTGGGAAGAACCCAGTACTGACTGTCGTCTTACAGTCCCTATATAAGCATTCAAGTGTTCCAAAAATACGAACCCCAAGACGCTATGGCCCTATACGCCTATACGAAGCCCTTGTAGCACTCTCCCTCCAGACTCCTTCAAGGAACCCCCCTACCCCTACCCATAGGCCCCATAGTTCCCTTTTGGGGTTCATATTTAGAACCCGATAAGGTAATCCCAAAAAGGAACTACTATGGGCCTTATTCTGGGTATAGTAACTACCGACCTCATCGTTTCACCGAAGCACCCACTGTCCCTCTCGCTCACAGCTCGAGATAGCTGCATTGAAGGCCTGTGCACAGCACTCAGACGGTGTGTAGGGCTTCTGCAGTTTAGGGTTTAGGGGTTTAGGGTTCACTGCTTCTAACCCTAAGGCTCCATGTAGCCATGTAGTATACACTTAGGCCTTACAGTACCTATATATTATATAGGAACCCCGTTAAGGCCTAGGTAAAAACTATATGGCTACACGGAGCCTGAGGGCAAGGCTCAGGGCTTAGGGTGTTGTGGGGTTTACGGCTTCCGCGCCTTCTGGCTTCCCAAAGACTCCAAAACCCCTTAACTAAGGAATATACCTTAAATTATAGTAGGATCCATAGTATGATTTAAGGAATATTCCTGAATTAAGGGGTATTGGAGTCTCTGGGTTGTTTTGCCAGGGGTTCTAGGCTGCCAGTGCTTAATTAGGGCTTAGGGTTTCTGGGTTGCAACTGGTTCCTCTATTCAGGACTGTAGAGCTACCCCCAAACAAAACAACCCCAATCCTGGTATCCTGCACCCCAAACCCTGCCAGGTCAATCTGTAGGTTTATTCACAGGATTGGTAGAGATTTCGAGCTTAGAGCTTCTAGGGTCCTGTACCTCACACTCTACTATACTGAACTTGGAACCCTAGCAAAAATTATAACTTTAGCTGTTTCTTAGGGATTATCATAACCAGAAATGAACAATTATTCTAAGTACCCCTAAGTCTAACCCTGAAGCGTGCCTCAAGAGAACGAGGAAGACGCGAAGACGCCATCGCAGCAAGAAGGTTGATGGAGAGCTGCCAAAGCCCCGCCTTCTCACCTGGGACTCCCGAAGGGTCCGGTTTAGGGTTTGGGGTTTAGGGTTTAGGGTTTAGGGTTTGGGGTTTAGGGTTTAGGGTTTAGGGTTTAGGGTTTAGGGGTTTAGGGTTTAGGGTTTAGGCAACCACTCTCGACTTTGTAACCGAAGAGGTCTACCGGACTTTTTTGCCAAAGGATTTCGTGTTTGGCCCCTTCTGGGCCGAAGTATAGATATATGCACCCTCAATCTTGCACACGGTACTCCGGATACTATACTTTGACCCGGAATTGCTATAGGCTTCGATCAAAGAGGCACAGGGTTGATTTGCAGGTTGATGGGCATTCGGAGTAGGGCCTTCAGCAGCATAGCGACCATGCCGAGGATCTTCAAACAAGAAACTGAAGCCTACGAATACCATCCACAAACAAAGAACCCAACCGCTAACCTCCTGAGCACAGCAACACATACCAAACTCACGCAACTGCCAGCCCCATGAAATCACAGGATGCTGGATCCTCCCGTGGTGCTCCCAGGTTTTCAGCATCGGTTGTTGGATTACACATTTTTTATGGCTTGTAACCTATTTGGGTAAGTGGAGCTCTAGGCTTATGCGGTGGTGAACCGCAAAGATCTGAAGGACGAGGTGAACCGCAACGAACCGACTTCCAAAGAACCGAGCCGCACACAGAGCCGAACTGCTCCAAAGCTGATGATAACAATTCAAATGCTGCAGGCACTGGGACTCATGCCAGTTGACATAGGCCTAAAGTCAGAATAGTATGTGAACCCATTCAAGTCCCAAGACGTCTCGATCTGGGAACTTGGAGCCGTGGGTAACCTATTTCATCTTTATACCAAATATATGAAACCCGAACTCCTAAACTCCTAAACCTAAACCCCAAACCTTAACCCCGAAGCCCTGTATCCTAGACTCCTAAACCCTGCCGGCGAACTCGCGCTGATCGCTGCGTTGAAGTTGGAGACAGTGGGCGCCAGTGAAAGCGTCGGAAGGTCGGTCTCGAAAGCTGTGTACCCTAAACCCTAAACCCTAAACCCTAAACCGTTAGTGGTTGAATTATTTAGGGGTTTGGGCGGCTTGGGGGTTTCGGGATTTAGTGGCTTTTTGGCTTAGAGGTTTGCGGGTTTTCGCGGCTACCGGGGGGTTTAGTTTAGTGATTTAGTGGTTTAATGGTTTTCCTTGTTTGGGGCTGGGGGGTTTTGGGGTTTAGGGTTTAGTGGCTTAATGGTGTAGGGGGAGCTGTTTAGCTGGGTTGTAGGTTGGACCCTGAACGGTATTTATGAAAAGGTACCTCTACAGCAACCATAAGGGAAATTATACAGCTACCCAAAGTGCCACCGCGTTCACGGTTCCGGGGTTTGGGGTTTGGTGGCTTAGGGTTTTGGGTTTGATGGTGTAGTGGTTTAGGGTTAAGGCGGGAGCTGGTTGACTGGGTTGTAGTTTTGGGGGACCTTACAGGTATATATGAACAGGTACCTCCATAGGTGCCATAATGGAATATCTTACCTTCAGATTACTGGTACCATATAGTAATGCGTCGCAGACCACTGCTGTGCATCATAGTCCAGGTCAACATGGACATGGGAAGTCAAAGCCTTAAAGGTTGTCAGCGGCGCTGCCGTTAGTTAAGCCCGTTTCCTGTTCCGCACTATGTTGTGAGTCTTGCTCGGCTATGGTAGGCCCCTTGTGGACACTGCATCGGGCGATTTCCGGAACTTCCAGACAACAACAGCACACAAGCAAACGGGAATTCTACGAACACGATTCGGTCCAACCTCATGGTCACTCGCAATGAACCCTAAACCCTAAACCTCTGGATCCTAAACCGTTCAGAACACGCCTCACGTCCCCTAGCTACGCCACCGCCGTTGAACCCAGAGATACCAATACCCTTCAATTCAGGAACATACCTTACATCAAAATATTAAGGCCCCTATAACTTAAGGTACATTCCTTAATTGAGGGGTATTGGGTTCTCTGGGAGGTTTAAGAGTTGGATTGCATGCGAGATTGAAACATGCTTTTTGCAGGGGTAGGGCTTAAGATTTAGGCCTTCGGCTGTGGGATGTAATGGCATACCCAAAGGGTCCTAAGTACTGTTAGGGGGAATACATTCCCAAATCAGAATAGTAAGTCCTAAAATAGAAACCCTACTTTCTACTATATGGGTGCTTAGGACCCTTTGGGTTATTATAAGTTTCGCATAAAGGGCCCAAAAACCCTATTATTAATCCCCCTATAGTACCGGCTGCTGAGGTCTGCCAAGCACAAGAACCAACCCTGAATCCAAAGAAACTCAGGGCACCAGCAGATCCAACGCCGCCCGCCATCGACCGGCATCGACGAGAACACCTCAACGTTTAGGGTTTAGGGGTTAGGGTTTGGGGTTTAGGGTTTAGGGTTTGGGGTTTAGGGTTTCGCAAGGGTGACTAACTAAATAGCCAACACTCGGAGCGAAGTTGTGACGTGATAGTGGCAACAAAAGCAGAAGCAATGCTGATCTAAACCCTAAACCCTAAAACCCCTAAACCCTCATACAAAATGTCGCGCCCAGGGCTCCACTGACCTAAATGGTAGGCCCTACTAACCTTATAGTGTGCAACCCAAGAAACCCAGTGTTTACGTAACTGGAGACGAAGCGCTACACCCTGTGGAAAACAGGGTTCAACAACACATCAGCCTAAACCCTGAATACACCATATAGGCCCTAAAACCTCTGCCCTTTACCCTAAACCCCAAACCCGAAACCCTAAACCGTCAGCCATGAAACCATAAGACGTCTATTCTTACCTTTCGATAGTAGGGAATGGAAGAATGGGATACAAGTATAACTACTATTACTACCATTCTTCCATTCCCTACTAACCAAAGGTAAGCTATTGCAGCAGCGAAAACCTAAACTTCCTAAACCCTGAGCCATAAAACCATAAGACGTCCATTGCAGCAGCGAAGCTCTGTGCAGCTCAGTAACCCACTGGGAAAAAGTATATGCTTTTTTAGGCTTCTTATTTTATAACAGGAACCCAGAAACCTGAAAGTAAAAAACCCTAAACCCTAAACCGTACTGAACAGCCTGGAAGCTCTGTGCAGCAGCTACTGCCACGGCGTCTAACGAAGCAGCAGCGGCTGCCCTTCCGAGCAGCCACAAAGCCAGCGGCCAGCAGCCCCCTTTGCGTTTGTTTGAGATAGTATGTATATATATATATATGTATGTATACATATATCTATTTTCATTTGTATTTATATTTATTTATGTGGTTATTAGTCATATTTATAGTTACATATATATATATATATCGACCTATAAAGATAGATGGACACATAGATAGATAGGCAGATAGGCATATAGATACATGTAATTATACGTATAGTCTTTATTGTGGTTCCTGTTTTTCGCTACCCAATACTTGATGTGGATCCCATGAAGTTAGCTAACCAGAAAAAGGAACCGCAATGAAGACTATAGGTAACCACTTATTGACGCAGCCACTTGCTGAGAACTCCTCATGTTGAGGTACCCATCATCACCCTTACTCGGAGATGGGTGCGTATTCTGTTCAGGCGCTTACTGCTTTGATAAGGATTACTTGGAGGGGCAGGGGACTTAGTAACTCGGTTCTAAGTGGGGTAACTCCATTTAGGGTTCTTATAACTCTACTTATAACCTACTTGCTAAGTCCCCTGCCCCTCAAAGTAGTTAAAAGGGTCTTACCTCGGAAACACAACATCTGCCTGCCGTCAGGCTGTCCCCTAGAGCCGGTACACCTTCCAGTGCAGAAGCCTTCAATCAGAAACCCTAAAGCCCTAAACCCTGAAGCCTAAACTTCAAACCCTGAACCCTCACAAAAGGCCCCGACTACACGCCGAACAGCAAGATACCGGCATCCGAGAGCTCATTATCTGCCCACAGTTGCGGCTGCTGTTTTGTATACTTAGTACTTTAAGGTTTAGGGTTTAGGCGGCCCAATCCGAGAATCATGGAGCAGAGGTGCTGCCGCAGCTTGCTATGGCTGAGCCAAAGCTGTAAGCCGTCGGACGTCTCCCGCTCTCCTTGCCATCACTATAGGGCTTCTACAAGGGTTACAATCGGGCTTCCTATAAGGGTTACTACACGGATTCACAGAAGGGTTCCTTTAAGAGCTACTATCAGGGAAACGGTTACGATACCGTTGAGGATTTTGGGCTTATCTAGGCATAAGGGTGTATGGCCTGCATTCAGCAATCAGAGTTTAGGGGATCCGGAGGCTGAAATTCTTTGTCGCAGGTCTGAGATCACGTCCCTTCGTATCTCCGAGCTCTCTTTGATCAGGCAGGGCAAGAAGAAGACACGACCCAGGGTTGATTGTGACAACTGCTGGTGTCATAGCTTCAGACAATCACAGCCAACCAAGCGAGATCTATAAAATGGAAGAGTTAAGAAGAAGCAGGGACTGGTCTGGTCTGATGGTCGTCGTAGTCTATAAAGCATAGCATAGTTTCAAAGCATCGCTCGGGAAATCAGTGTATATTATAGTTTATAAGTAAGTTTAGGGTGCACGGCTCAGGGTTTCATGCAGCGGTCTACAATTGCCAGCAGATGCTAACAATCTCTTGTTGTGCGTACACACATGTGTTGATGTTGGCTCCTGTTTGGGGGACGGATTGGTGGCAGTAGATTTTAACACAAGTTGCACACTTGCACAAGGCCTTTAAAAAGACATACCGCTTTACTCTTAAAAGATGAGAACATCGAGTTTCATATGAGGGCTGCAGACATAGCGGATCCTGTATACTCAGTTACTTTCGACCCCAAACAGTCGGGCCCTCATTTTCAGGGTCCCCAGACTTATATAAGAAGGAGCCACGAACTGTCCCTAACACTCCTCCCCGCACACACATCCGAACCACAGCGCCAATCCCCTCCCTGACGGGCTTAGCAGCTAGTCTAGACCGTTGAGCTTAGCACTTCTTTTTCTGGACAATGCACCCTCGACCCCGAACCCAAAACCAAACCCATCCTGAAGGAACTAAACCCAGAACCCTATAATCACTCTAACCCGAAACTAAGTCGCCCTGAACCCTGAACCCTGCCGATGCAAGTTGTTGAGGAGCTTGGGAAAATGCCCGGGCCCGTGTCTTGCGGAGGCGAGGCTCCTCGATCTTCAGAAGGAGTAGCATAGCCCTCCTTGCATTGGCTTCGGTTTAGGGTTTAGTTTTGTTTTTTTTGTTTGAGCCCTCTTTTCCTTCTGCCCATCCGGTTAGTAAAGGGTTTAGTTTAGGGTTTAGGCTTTAGGGAGGAGGGGTTTAGAATGCTTGAAAGTGGGCGTGAAGGTCAAGGGCACTGTGTGAGGGTTGCCGGGTCGACAGATTACAGATTACAGGGTCTTGGGTCTAGTGATCAAGTTCAGAGGATGCAGGAGGCTTGTCTTGGGTTTTGCTCAAAGGCTCGTCGACGATTGCCATGACTTAAATAGGCGGCATAACTGTTTACCCATAGGCCCCAAAGTAGTTCCTTTTGGGGGTTGCCTTATAGGATTCTATATACGAACCCCCAAAAGGAACTACTTTGGGGCCTTAGGGTAGCTGCCTTGCTTGTATTATCGACTCACTGCTCGCGTGATCCTCAAAGTCGCCATTGAGTTTTCGGGGCCTTTTTGAGGGCATGCAAGGCTCGGTCAGCTTGGGGTTTCGAGCCCAGGAATTTGGCTGTGATCAGAATCCATGCAAGGCAGCCGGCCCTAAAAACCCCAGTGAGCCGACAGGATTCATCCATTCCTGATCTGACTGGCCCGAGCCAAAAACGTAATCCGATGTAGCCCGATCGCGCTGGTGTAAGCTTATCTTAGCTGACGCCACATATTCACATGATTTATGCATGTAATTGCGCAACAGCCCTGATTCCTAAGCCTGCGTGGGGCGGGGGGCACATTCGTGTACTGGATGGCTGTATGCATAGCTCGCACGGAATAACCGCCTGGAGGTTCCTGCTTTCGATAACTAAGACACCGATCTAACCGGAGGAGCAGAGCAACCTCTTCTCTTGGTGGGGCTTTTAAAGCCTTTGAACAATATTTTCGTAAATAAGATCCTCTTGAACCCAATAAGGGAAAAGACAAAAAGTCCCAAAGCCCTACCTAGTTCTGAGTTGGAAGCAAGCTGCTGCCACTCGCCGGAACGGGCACAAGCGCCAATCGCCGCATTGAATGTGTTGACTGCATCGGAGAGTGTCTACCCATAGGCCCGGTTGCCTTATAGGATTCTATATATGAACCCCAAAAAGGAACTACTTTGGGGCCTCAGGGTAGCTTCCAGAGTGTACGAGGCTGCGTCTCGGGCAATCGGGCAATACATCGGAAGCCATCAGACCGAGGTCTCAACGCACAGTCTGCTGCCCTGCTGTAAGGAGATCATGCCACCCAAAACCTCTAGAACCCGCATGGAAGGTCCTGTGAAAGGTTTGGCAGTTTTGTCGGCGTGGGTTTTCTTTGGACAGCTATAAACCTCATAAGTAGGTTTATAAGCCCCTGCACCGCCCAAATCCTGAAACCCTAATTAAACCCTAAGACCTCAGACCCTGAACCACCAAATCGGGCCTGTGGGCTCCAGTTCTGCGTCGTGTAGCGACTGTAGAAGTAACATGGCCTGCTGCCACTGCCCGCATTTTTCCTTGCTTCAGGTGCTGAGTGGGTAGAGGATGCCATGGGACTTCGGGCATCTTAGGGATACCACGACACTGTATTCCAGATCTTTCCGTTCTTCCTCGATTGTAAACAAAAATGTCATCCATGAAGCTCTGGACGAGCGGGCCTGCCTATCCCAGCCACGGCAGGAGGCATACATTGTTGGGTTTCGGCTCAAGGCTTATGCGCTGGTAAAACACAATATGCCTTCGTGCAGAAAAGGCTCGCAGGCACTGATTGCAGCATTGAAGCAGATGGCATCGGATCGCCTCAGCCGTGGCGGCTGCATTCCCAGGATTGATTCAGCGATTCAGAAGCCCATAACCCCTCATGCCCAATATTCCAAGCCAGCATCTGCAACCTGATCCTATACGGCCTACTCCAACCTGCTCAGCCAGGTGGCAAATTCTGATTCGGCATAGACATCAGCAGAAGCAGTGCCCTCTGCCATTGGCCACCCTTCCTGCAGCAAAGAATGGACGCTTTGAGTTTGAGGGCTTTGCCGAGTTTGAGAAAACCTTTGACAAACACCGCAGTCTCCTGTCGGAGTTACCGGGTGGTTTAAGGCTTAGGGCTTGATTTGGGTTTAACGGAATTTAGGGGTTTCCAAAAGTCGACAAACCACACCTGCAAGAATGCCATTTTTTGTTTTTTGAACATGGATGTTCAGTAGGGTTCTGCAGCTTGCATAACTTGTGTGCTGAATTGAAGGAGCAGCGTCAAAAGAAAAAAACAAAGGGATTCCAACATTAGTCAGAGCCTTCACGCCAGAAAAGAGTTTTTTGAGACCCTAAACCCTAAACCCCAAACCCCTGTGAGACAGCCCTTGCAGGCCCCCACTTAAAGCCCCGCACTCATCAAGAGCTTCTCCGGGAATTTGCTATCGAGACTCTCGCAAGCAGAGACGGCCGCGCTGAAGGAGATTACGTTGGCTTCCAGACGGCCGCCCTTGGTCATTTGAATATGAAGCTTCCTGGGTTTTATAAGTAGAGACGGCTTTATAAAGGATTGCCTGGGCTGAAGGCTGCAGCTGTTTATCGGGGCTGTTGCTGGTTTGGGAGATTGTGCTTAAGTCTGTCGACGTCACCTATTGCCTGTCAACGTCACCTATCGCCATCTTCTCAACTCTGACACAACTGGCTCGGAGGACACACACCCCACACGCATGTATGCCTGAACGCATTCGCACATGAACACCCAACCCCACGTACAACAACAACACACCAAATCTGAGCCATAACCACAGCCACTACCAGGACCCCCCAATGGCCCCTTAATGGAGCCGCTAATTACAGTCCTTAACAGTGGGTATCTAGTGTATATTAGAAGGTAGTTGGGAGGTCTAAGTACGGCACTTATTTAAACCAAGTGTCTTGCAACGAGGTCAAGAGGGAGAGTGCTTGAAGCCACTCGCCTTCTGGTTTCGAGCCGCATGTGGTTTGACTGGGTTTGGGGTTTAATGTGGTGACCTTCGATATTTAGAATAGGGTTTCGGGGTATGCTATTGTTATTAATACTACCATAAGGCACCCTCCCACAACAGTATAGGTAGTGATATAAGGCCTCTATACTAGGATGTTCCCTACTTCCTGTATGGCCTTGGCAGCATTGCTTCACTTGATTGGTCCTGACGGCTTGCAGCTTCGAGCTTCGCGATCTTGAATCATCTACAACTAGAACTATAACCATAACTATGGCTTAAACCAAAAACCACGACTATCGCTATACTATACCAATGTACACAACCCCTAAGCTAGACGTTCCACCTGGACGGACGTCCTGATTGAACACAGGGTTCGGTTCTGCTTGGCTTGAACTTGTGTATGTTTGTCACATATCCTCTTATCCTCCTCCTCATCATCAACGTTGTCACCACCGCCATCACCATCATCATCGTCGCCAAAGTCATAATCATAGTAATTGTCACATCCATCATCATGGCCATCAGCATCGTCACCGCGGTCGCATCCATTCCACCGTCGTCGTCTATCCTCATGAACGCCAGCATGAGCCTGGAAGTGTCAGGCTTCGTTTCAAAGGATGAACCTAGAGAACCCAATACCCCTTAATTCAGGAATATACCTTAATAGGGCCCGTAATATTATGATTGGGATCTCTGGGAACCCGCCCACCTGCTTTTTCGCACGCGCTGATGGTGGAGTTGTAGGTGATGGTGTTGGGCTCAATCTTGACCCTCCTCTGAGCATCGCTAGCTTTGTGTTCTAGGATTGCTCGAGATCCCAGGAACCCTAAACCCAAAACCCTAAACCTGGTCCCAAGCCCAGAAGACTGAGCCATTGACGGAGCGTTTAGGGTTTGGAGATATGGCCTGGACCCAAAGTCCAGGGTTCATGAAGCTGAGATTATCTTGCAGTGTACAAACGGGGTTCTAGGCTTTAGGGCCATGGCTGTTAGGAGTAGAGCCCTTCTGCTTCAAAAGGGCTCCATTTGGGGTCCCGGGTGCTTCAGAGAGGCCTAGGGTTTCAGGCTTCGGGCGGCAGGTGCTTGGGGTTGAAAGTTCAGGGCTGTGTTTTGCTAATACCTAGAGAACCCAATACCCCTCAATTAAGGAATATACCTCAAATTATGGGGCCCTTCATATTATGATTTAAGTATATTCCTTATAAGGGGTATTGGGATCTCTGGGTAATTGCATTTCGGCTATGGAGCGCAGAGATTGTTGGACTGCTGGCACTGAAGAGATGCGACGGGAGCTCAGTTGTCAATTTAAAGCCTCAAGACTTGAGGGTTTTGTGTCCAAGGAATGCAATCGTCCGATGCTCCGACACAATGCTGAAGGCAGGCAGATGTCTGCTTTCGGTTATGTGGGCCAAACTTCTTCTTATCAAAATCTAAAATCCTCAAACCCCATCTCAGCGGAAATCGAAGACCAGCTTGTGTATAAGCTAAACCCTAAACCCTAAACCCCTAAACCCTAAACCGTAAACCCTAAACCCCTAAAAACTAAACCCGCTCTCCGATAAGCGAAGCCTGGAACCCTCTAACAATCTTGAGGATCAGAATAAGGCCCTAAACCCCTCAAGGGAACCCCTTTATAAGACGCCCGTAACTATAGAATCCTGTGTAAAGCACTTAATAATCATGAATCTGTGTACACCGAGAGACTCGCAAACCCCTTAACTAAGCAACTATACATTAATCTATGGGTTTGGGAGATCCTGCTTGTCATTCAAGAAATATTCCTTTGGTTCAGGGATCTTGGAGTCTCCCCTATAGATCCCTCATATGAACCCTTATAGAAATTCTGATAGATCCCTTTAGAGGAGTCTCTGGGATCCCCAAATCACAAGAACCGACGCAGCGAACAAATCCCCCGAGCTGGTCCTCATGAAGGCCTCGGCTGTAACTGGGCTCTTCTGGGCTCTTGCTGGGGATTTAGTTTAAGTGTAGGGATCTATAACAATTCCTTAAAAAGGCGTAGTCTTTAATCTAAAGGCGTAGTCTTTAATCTAAGTTACCAGACAAGGGATCTGGGTTCTTGGGCTCTTCACAAAATCATCTCTGGTCTTGAGAAACTTCGGGCTGAGGGTGCATGGCTTAGCAGCCCAGCGTCCCTAGGTTAAGTGGTGAGATCACAAAGCTTTGGGGAAGCTAAACCCTAAACCCTAAACCCTAAACCCCAAAACCCTAAACCTGTTGCGGGGAGGGTGGGGTGATTGGGACTTGATGGTATGTGAGCAGAGTTTGGGGGGGAGATTTGTGGCCCAAGCTCCGGTCCTTGAAGCAGAAGTCTGGCCTTTTGTCGAACTCCGAAATCCGAGAAAGCCGAACTCAAACGTCTCTACAGCCACAAGAATAGGCTTGTGGAGCAGATTATTGTATCACCGTATTCGAATCTACAACCGGAAGACCGTATGAGAATAAGGGTTTGGGGCCCAGTATACTACAGTTATAAAAAGGAACCCCCAGAATAGTGTAGCTAACTATTCACGCCCCTATATTATGGGACTTTCTGGTTGGGAAACCCCTAACCTAAGGGGTCTCTTCAAGGGACCTTTTCGGGTAGTATAAGGGCTTAGGATTTGGGGTTTAGGGTACCTGGGCGATCATGGGACTCAGTAAGTACGTAAGGTTATATATTATGAGTACCTGTTTGGGGGTTATACGTCGTTCTCACTTGTTCTAGCCCTAGTTACTAAGTAGTTTCGAGACACGAAGCCCCATTACTCCGTAAATACCTAAAGCCTGAGGCTTCGCACAGGAATGAACGAATTTTCCAGTCTAGGCAAAGCCGCTAGACACACACACACACACACCCACATATGTAGGTGCACAACCCACTGCTAGAACTAGCTTCTAACATCGCTGAGAGACCAAGAATTCCAAAGCAATCGTCCAGTGTCCAGGCTTCTCCAGTGCTTTAATCGCCGCGCTGTAAGTCACCTCGCGAAACATGCTGGCGGCATATTTCCATGCTGCTGGGTGGAAGGTATGAGTTCAGATTGCAAGGAGGCTTTGGCAAACCTGCGGTTTCGGAGAGCTGTAAGCTGCTTCTCCCATTAGGGCGTACCGCCAATGCAGCAGTGCCCAACCTGGCTAGTAACTTCTCCCCTCAGCCGTAAACAGTACCCGAAGCCAAACCCAAACCCAAAAACCTCAAACCTTGCAACCGCGAGCCTGAAGCCTAAAGATGTTGATGATATAAATCCTGCATTACCTTAAAGACCCTAAACTCTGGGAATCACGGGACATTCCTTAGTATGGGTAATGCAGGATTTGTATCATCAACCGTATATCCTGCATGCAGGTGGCAACGTTAGGTTCGATCTCGGAGTCAATCATCCTGGATGTCGCAGTGAAGCTCTGGAGTTTCAGGGCTTTTCGGTCGGGTTCATACAAGGGATACAGTAGAAGCCTAAAAGTTGGAAACCCACTAGCCTCAGTCCTTAAGAGTAATGTATAAACGATCCCAGCACTATTTTGCCTTAATCCGGTTTCCAACTTTATGGGGTTTACTGTGAAGGAATCAAGGGTTTGAGGGTGTAGGGCTTTAGGGCTTTACATAGAGCTTCTTGGCTGGGGTTCTTATGAGGGAGTGGTTTAAAAGTTTGGGCCTTGCGGCGCTAGGCTTTTGCTAGGCTTCTTACGAGCGGGGTCTGTAAGTGACACTTTTCTTCGTATAACTAACTATTATTTATATTGTTGTTGCTAGTGCAAGCCCCCACGTCAACAAGCCCTAAGCACTGGGCCTGAACATAACTGTGTGGGTTTAAGTAGGGAATGGGGAACGAGTTATGGGGGCTACTATTGGGGATTATATATCGACTACCATAGGCAGCCATTCCCCCATTCCAATAACTAAGCACCAGACAGATAAGTGAAACCTTGAACCCATCCCAGACTCTGAAAACAACTGAAGACGAGCATCCATGAGAAGGCCAGCATGGCTTGCTTCCAGTGGCTGGCCTTCTCCTGTTTTAAGGTTTGGGGGTTTAGGGTTTAGGGGTTAGGGTTTAGGATTTAGGGGTTTAGGGTTTAGGGGTTTAGGGTTTAGGGGTATAGGGGTTAAGGGGTTTGGGGACCTACTGCTCAAAGGCTTGTGAGTGCTGGGATTCATAGCCTTACGGCTTCTTGAATGATTCCCTGAGATAGTAGTTACTTAGTAGTTTCCTGCAAAGAACCCGTACCTCCCAATCTTTGAAGGAATGGACAAATATATACATACATACATCTACTCGATTATTATCAGTATTGTTATTAACTGGCAATCGAGCAGGCCGAATAATTGTGGCATCCAGGATCAGTATCCCGGCAGAGTGACTTGGGGCGAGGTCCGGTTCTCGAGATGTGCAGGAGACCGTTCTATCAGGGATGTTGGAACGGGTTCTATTTTCTGGAAGCTGGTGGCTTGGGTTACAGCTTCGGGTGTCGGTTCAAAGTTTAGGGCCTCATCCGGATTCCAGCTTTAACTAGCTTTTCCATAAGTGGTTCTTTCGGGTTCGGGTTTGGGGTTTAATTAATTAAGGTTTAGGAGCGCTTGAGGTTTGTCCTTTAGCCCTCAACTAAGCCCTCAGCTTCCCAAATTCTCGGAAAACACTCGTGCTGACAAGGCACGCAGGCACTGAGAAGGGAGCTGAAGGTAATAACATCGCAGCGCACCTCCTGTGGGACGTAATTGGTGAAGGTAGGACGAATCAGGGAAGACTTCACCTCACCAACCGTCTATGTACAGTAGAAGCCAGAAAGTTGGAATACCATTATCGTAACCCCTTTAAGGTAAATTATAGGGGATCCTACCAATAATCCATATTCCAACTTTCTGGAGTTCCCTTTAAGTGAAGAATCAAGAATGCAAAGCCCCAACACCGAAATCCTACTTGGAGGATCATGGGACTTAGTAAGTAGGGTTATAAGTACCTGAATTGGGGTTATAAGTAATTATAACTGTAGTTACCGTACTTATAACCCCAGTTACTAAGTCCCATGATCCTTTAAATAGACCCTAAACCCTAAACCCTTATAGTATCCCTATAGATCCCTTTTAAGGAACCCTAGTTACTAAGTCCCATGATCCTTTAAGTAAACACCGAACCCGCCATCTCCAACTCAAAACCTGAAGCCAAAGCCTAAACCCTGGTGCCCTTCTAGCAGCTCCTCTTCTTCAACCTTAAGCCCATGTTGCTCCCGAAATCTTTCGGGTTTCGGTGGATGAGTTCTGGGTGTAGGGCTTTAGGTTCAGGGTCTTGGGTTTTGGGCTTGGGATTTCGGTATTACGGGCGACTAGGGTAACCTGGGGTGTGGGGCTTTACATTGAAAAGGAACCCTTGAACATTGGAATACGTGCAGTATATAGTGCAAGAACTAGATAAGAACCCTAAACCAAGGAAACAAATTCTTGAGTATGTGTATGTGCATATATATATACACATATGTATATGTGTATATATATATATATATATGTATACATATGTATGTATATATATGTATGTATGTATATATATATATATATATATATATATATATATATTGGCTTCACCATGTCAGGCTTTGGGGATTTATTTACAGTCTCGCCCGGCCTTCGTGCGCATCTCCGAGACCGTCCCGAGCGCCTGCAGCCTCAGCTCCGGGCTCGTCTGAGGGAACCCTTCAAGCCCTTGAAGATCCTTTAATCATGATCCTTAAGTAGAGGGTTCCTTGAAGGAATATTTAGGGTTCCTTTAAGGGATCTAGAGGGTTCCTTTAAGGAATGTATTATAAGGGAACTCCAGAAAGTTGGAATATGGTTTCAGGGTAGGATACCCTATAATTTGCCATAAAGGGTTTAGGATAATCATATTCCAACTTTATGGCCCTTACTTTAACCCAAGGGTAAAAGGAGGGACCCTTTATAAGGACCCCTAGGTAGAAACCCTTAATATAGCTATGATATACCCATAATATAGCCCATTATAGGGTAGGAGTCCCCATTAAGGGTCCCTCCTTTTGCCCTTTGGTTTAAAGTTGCATAAGGGAGTCTTACTGAAGTAGGTTCTACAGTAGAAGGTGTTGCTTCGTCATGTTGCAAGATGGACCACTTGATGATGACTCCTTCCGCCAATCCTAAACCCGAAAAGCTGTCGAACGGTTTAGGGTGTAGGGTTCAGAGTTTTAGGGCTTAGGGTTTAGGGGTTCGGTCCAAAGGCCAGTCCATTCTTCTGCCGGCCAGGCTGATGGCTCTGTTGCAGGTGACAGTCTCCATGGCCAAGTGCATCGAACCTGTGATGTGCCATCTTGTGTTGGCTTTGGGAGGGCATGGGAATACGGGCTTGGGATCTCTTTGCGAGCCTTCCAGGCATGAAAACCCTACGCTGCATACACCCTAAACCCTAGTCGGAATCCTAATTGTTGCTGCAGCTTGGGACTGAGAAGTCCCTCCCCATGGAGCCCTTGAACCTTTCGTAAGAACACGAAACCCTAAAACCTTCGACGCAACCCTAAACCACACACACGAAAAAAACTAAACGCCAGACCCTAAACCTTGAACCCTCAACCCTAACCCCTCAACCTTTAAACTAAACCCCAAACCCTGCCTCCAGGTCATTAGCAATCAATCTCTGCAGAAAAAGGACCTGGTCCAAAGAGAGGAGTTTCGCCAAACTTAGGTGCCCCGCTTCAAATTTTAGGGTTAGGGTTTTTGCAACAAGGATCCTACAGCGCTCCAAAATCCGCAAGCTGGGCGTATCCTTGCGGCCCTCCTCTCACACCTGAAGAACGTGACACGCCAAGCCCGACAGCAGACCTCACCATCGCAGACCTCATCATCCTGGACTCTCGATCACCGGAGTGTTTTCTGCCGTCAAACATTTAGCACAGGCGCTTGGAGCATGTTCCAGTGTAACATTGATACAGAACCGTCAGAAATGGTACATACTTACTTACTTACTTACCTACTACTACTACTACTGCTGCTGCTGCTACTACTACTACTACTGCTACTTCTACTGCTACTGTTACTACTACTACTACTACTACTACTACTACTACTACTACTACTACTACTACTACTACTACTACTACTACTACTACTACTACTACTATTACTACTACTACTACTACTACTACCACCACTACTGTACCACTGCTCCTATTATTACTACTACTACTACTACTACTACTACTACTACTACTACTAGTACTACGACCCATATTACACCCAAAGCCCTCAACACAAAACCAAATAAACACATGCACAGACACACACACACACACAGACACACACACACACACACACATCAAACCCCAGGCTCGCCATGTGCCTTCAGGGAAGGTGCGCAAGCTCTGCCACCATGGAGCCGCGCATGCTGCATTTGGAGACCGTTCTTAGCTGCTCGCGATTTGAAGCTTATATTTTAGGGTTAAGGATACCCTAAACCCTGAAAGGACCATGGACGTAGAGAAGCTACCCTTTCATGCTCAATCTCAGCTTGTAGAGCCACTGAGCCAGCAGCTCGGAGGCCAGTATCGTTGGTACGAGTGAAAATCATCGACCTCTTCTGATCCCTGAACCCTAAACCACGAGCCGACTTGACCACAGGAACTCCAACCAAGAACATCGGAAGCTAACGGACTGAAACTCTACAACTAAGTTTTGAGTTCAGGGCTTAGGCTGAGGGTTTGGGGCTTGGGGTCAGCGATTGGGAACTTGTGCAGGAACTATATTACCGGGCCCGCTGTAGCCGTGTTTCGGGCCAAGCATGTGTAGGACGCAGACTGCGCTTGGCAGCTGCACGAGAACCCGATGATGAGAGCCTAAACACTGACTAAACCCTACTTTAACCCTGAATAACCTACCTGTTTAGAGCTCCTTATTATGATTTCCCGATAGAAGTCCTGAAAAAAGGAAGGTTATTCCGGGTTCAGGTAAACCCCCTAAACATGAAACGCATCCTGAACTTCCCGAATTTTAAAAACCCAAACACCTGCAAACCCCAAACTCCAAAAATCCGAAATACTAGAGCTACTATAGACCCCTGAACCGCTGACACCTGCAAGCTCATATTTTGGCGCTGCTGTGCGGTCGAAATCGAGTCTCTGAGCAGTCTGGTGGTGAGTTTAGGGTTTGGGGGTTTGGACTTTAAGGGCGTTTTTGTTTGAGAACCTTTTTCCAGCTGCAGTTTTAGTTGGAGGGCTCCAGTGGAGCAGGCAACTAACCCTTTCCCTGGGGGAATGTAAGGGTTTAGGATTTAGAGTTTAGGGTTTAAGGTTTGAAGTTTAGTACAGTTTAGGATTTAGAGTTTAGGGTGTCTTGTTTGGAGTTTAGCAAAGGTTTAGGGGTTTAGAGTTTAGGGTATCCCCCACCAGAAGCACAGAGCTTGCCAGCTCAGTGGAGATCAGTAATGTAAGGGCCGAGACAATTCCCAATACCTTTTTGGGGCTCCTTAGTACAATTGAAGTTTGGGATTTAAGTTTAGGGCTTAGAGCACCAAAGCCCTATTCTAGATATGCAGGCCCCTATATCATGTCTCCAAGTCTGTCCCGGGCTTGTTCTCACAAATGCCCCGGTAAACTCAACACGAGGTTGAGAAAAGTAGTGTTAAGGACACCGGCTATGTAGCACGGATGTGCTAAGCAGCAGGAACCGGCGAGCACCCAAACGCAAGCAAAAGATGTACCGTTTTATCGTATGGTTTCGGACATTTTGGTGCTTCAAACTCTAGTATTGCAGAGTAAACATGCAAAAACTTGCGCCAACAACCTGGAACGATTTCTTGGGTTCAAACTTCGATGTGCAAAGATTGTGCAAACACAAACCATCAGCAAGCTCATAACATCGAGCAGCACTTTCGGACAAGGGTTGCTCTCTGAGCCCTCTAAACCGTAAAGCCTAAACTCCTAAACCCTAAACCCCTGAACCCTAATCCCTAAACCCCTAAACCCCTAAACCATCTCCCGTAAACCCTAAACCATCTCCCATGAAACCTCGACCGGATTGACCTTAGCTTGGGTTTAACGGGACCGATTGGGGCTTTGAGCTTTGTGTTCAGGGATGTTTGCGGTAGAGATCGGGGCTTCTGGCTTAGGGCTTCGGTTTTAAAGTTTGGGTTTGGGGTTTAGGGCTTAGGGCTTAGGTTTTAGAGTTTGGGTTTGGGGTTTAGGGCTTAGGGTCTAGGGTTTAGGGGTTTAGGGTTTAGGGGTTTAGGGTTTAGGGTTTGGGTTTGGGGTTTAGGGTTTGGGGTTTAGGGCTTAGGGTCTAGGGTTTAGGGTTTAGGGGTTTAGGGTTTAGGGTTTGGGTTTGGGGTTTAGGGTTTGGGGTTTAGGTTTTAGAGTCTGGGGTTTGCGGTGCTTGTCTGGATCCTTGGTGTCGTGACAAGGCACTGTTCAAGCACTTGGCTTGCTGCCAAAGACCGCAAAGCTCCCCGACACCTGGAACCCTGCTAAATAAACCTACGCGTTTCCAACGCCCAAGCCTTTAAAAACCAACTCCCACACCATAACCTGCTCCTGTGGACCAAAAAACCACCCCTTTAAAGGACCGATATATATATATATATATATATGTTTATATATGTACACACACAGATAGATACATGTATATACAGAATCCACAACCCTGAAAGGAAGGTCTTTGAGGCTACAGGGCTGCGCAAATAAACCAAAACGAAGTATGAACACCCCAGCAGGCTGTACCAACACCCACTGTATTCTTTAAATTACAACAACGCATCTGTGCCCCAAACCATGCCGAAAACCTCGTACCCAAACCCCACGCACACATGTTAAACCCCAAAGCCCTTCCTCTGATTCTAAGTTCACCAAAAACCCTGGGCCGTAAAACCCGGAACTCTAAACCCTAAAAACAGGAAGCCTCAACCCTAAACCCTACTATCCCTCAACCCGTACAAAACCGTACACCCTCAACCCTAAATCCCGAAACCCTGAACCCCGTTATCCCTCAGCTCATACTCCTGAAACCCGCAAGCCTAAACCCCTAAACCAGGGTTCAGCTGCAACCTGCTCAAGCCTTGGCATCTCCCTCGCCGGAATCACTTTCGTCCTCTTCGGAGTCCTTCAACTTAAAGGATCATGGGACTTAGTAACTAGGGTTATAAACACAGTAACTATATATGTATATATATATACACCTATAATTACTTATAACCTCAATTAGGGTACTGCTAACCATACTTACTAAGTCCCATGATCCTCCAAGTACCGTAGAGAGCTTACAGGGTTTGGGGATTAGCAATCCTTCTCTTAGGGTTTAGGAACCCTTATAATTCAGAGCTTTTCTGTCTTACAGGGTTTCGTTTTTAGGAGCCCTACGCCTACACCCATAGGGTTTCGAGCCCAAAGTTTAGGAACTTCTACACAAGGAAGAGGATTTCGTTAAATAGTAAAAGGCTTCTGGGACTTAGCTTTTGTGATTTCGAGTTTCGATCGTTGAGATTTGAAGAAGAGGCTAAGTTTCGCTCTTTGTAGGTTGCGGGTGAACAGTATACCATATGTGACATACATTACATAATATGTGATGTATAATATGTGAACTAAAGTCTGCTGTATAATATGTACCTATACATACATAGCTGCGCAGTCGTATGTGTAGTATAATACAATAGAGTGTGAAATGGGGTCGGCGCGGGTTTTCTGTAGTGCTTTGAATTTTGCATTTACGGTTCAGGGCTTTGGGTTACTGTGCCCCCCGCTCAGTCCCTCCGCGAGGTGTTGGTATAATGTTGGGAAAAGTACACAGGGAATACATCGGATTCAGGATGTTGTGGCAAGTAAAGAGTCCCGACTCAGGTGTAGAGGCTTTAGCATGTACAGGGCTTGAAATGTCAGTTTCAGAGTTTGTAGGGTTTGGGGTTCGCTTCTGTTAGAGATAATGACGGCTTCGTGTTGAGTCTGACTGCCGACTATATGGTACTCATTTCGGGGGTCTACAATGGGAATATTTCTACCCCCTATATTAAACCCTAGCGCCCTGAACCTGAAGCCGTAGACTTGATGGCTTTCTTCAAGCCGACTCTCATGAAATCGGATGTTGAATTGAAGGCTCCAAGATCTAGTTGGGCTTGATGATTTTGAGGGATCTCAACTGACCAGTAAAGCCCCTGCCAAGGGCCTCACCGGGTATCTTGCCAATCCACGATCCCCAAACCCTTAAAGCCCTAAAATCGAAACTCCTAAACCCTAACCCCTAACCCCTATAAACCCTTAAACCCTAAACCCTAAACCGCTAAACCCTTAAACCCTAAACGTATGCCCGCGGCCTCACCCAGGCTGCAGAGCTCAGAGAGACGACGCTGGCTCGCCACGGCGCCTGGCAGCGATGTTTCGGGCCTGCTGTGGTTTATAGAGGACGTTGTATAAGGCTGACAAAAAGTGTGTGTGTGTATATATATATATATATAGATATACATGTATATGCATGCATACACACACACACACACACATATATATATATATATATATACATATAAATACATATGTGTGTACAGGGTTCGGGGTTTAAGGTTTGTGCAGGGTTTTTATGAGGCTTATATGGTTTGGGGCTCATAAAGAAACCTTGGGTCTTTAGCAGGATGCTTATGTAATTATGGATCCTAATATATTGGGGTTATAGGGTCAGGGTTTCTTCAGAGGATTTTGTTCAAGGCTTCGAAGGTTTGGGGCTTGGGGCTGAAATATATAAGCTAGGTTTGGGTTTCGGGCTTGACGGTCGGGAGCTTTTCGGATTTAGGTTCTGCGGGACGGCTACGGGGAAGGAAATTAAATGTAAGGGGCCTTCATGCTCATACGAGCACTACACGGCTCGTTCTTATGCCAACCATCCGTGTACCTCAGCCTACGCGTCTCACATTCTAGTGGAGGCTTGCATCGCCAGAGTCTGTGGACCCTTTGGCCTAGGAGTAGAATCCTTAACACCGAACTGCTGAAACCGAGATCTCTGATTGGTAGGCTTCGAGTGTGTAATGCGCGTTGCAGATGGCTGGTAGGGCCTCGCGGGGGCTTATATGACTGTTTACATCAAGGGCTTGGTTTTTTGTTTAGGAAGGTTCCGCTAAAGACTAGCTGACTAACTACCGAGACAAAATTGAAAACTGAAGCCCCTAAGCCCCAGACCCATGATGTCAAACTCCTAGAGAATCCCAATGTAGAAACCTAACGCATCACTCTATTCTATAACCCTGATTCACTGGACTCCACAACACTAAGCCTTGATCTCTACGAGCCTAGAGCCTGGTGCCGCAAGCCTTCACATCATGGCTAAAACTAGCAACTATAGATTATATTTAGCCTGCTGTGCATACTGATAAACGTAGAAAAATAGTGCAGGTCCCTGAATAATTAGAAAAGGGGTTTGGGGAGGGGGAGGGCGGGGCGTAAACTATCGTAACATTAAACAGGGAGGACAAAGGTATCATTTTACTGATATTTCCGACCCCGATATCATGCAAGTTGCGGTTTCAAGATGGGTGCTTCAGGTTTAGGCGGTGTCGACGTTTGCGCTGATGATGCTCATGGTGATGCTAATAATGGCGACGATGCTAATGCTGCTGATGATGATGAGATGATGATGATGATGATGGCAATCATTCAAAAAATGATGATGGCGAACGCTTTTGATGCCGGTTCTTGGGGATGGTGCGAACGGTGGTGAGTATCACTATGGGGATGCGTGATGTTTTGTTGTGACGACCCGTGCCAAGTTGGTGGCTGGCGCGAAGAAGTTTTGGGGGCTGGGTTTCGGAAATAGCTTCAGGTCATTAGCAAGAAGAGTGTGGGCGCGATGCCTGGGGTGGTGATGATTCTGCTTGCAAAATGCGATACACACGAGTGGCACTGCCACGAACACAGTCTTGAGTCTAGAGTGCATATAGAAGCACCGAAGGCACGGCAAGCACAGTCGACCTACAAAAAAGGCAAAGCCATTAGTGCGGGCGGGGTGCATTTAGGTGCACCCGCCCGCAGCTAAAGTGATCTTGCCGCCGATAAAAGAGGCCGCTTTAGCCGACCTACAAGGAGGTCCTAAGAAATTGAGCTAGGTAGGTTTACGTGCCGAAGGATGTCTGGTTTACCAGAGAGCCCCTGCTTGCATTGGAGGCGGCTCTACCATACAGCCACGAACCTACATCCCCACACGTTACATAGACAAGCCAAGAAAGGCCACAACAAAATCACATGTATTCCTTGTCCCTAAACTGACCTCGAAAAGTGATGGACCCTGATTATGAGTCAAAACCCTGAGTCGCCTTAGACCAGCCCATGTCGAGGAAACTTCGGTAGTAGACGCCAGGGGTAAAATGAGTCAGAGGTCGTGAGGAGAAAGAGCTTGTTTACTCCAATCAAATGTGTTATGGTTCACCCGAAGGCCCCAAAGTAGTTCCTTTTTGGGGATTCGTATATAGAATCCTATAAGGTAATCCCAAAAAGGAACTACTTTGGGGCCTATGGTTCAATGTTAAGTGGCTTAGCACGGATGATTTCGCAGCTTTGACTCCGGACAGTGCAAGCACCAAAACAACACACACACACAGACAAACACATGCACATGCACACACACACATGATGTGCGGGGATTTCGGACAGGTTAGGCCACTAGATACCTGAAACCTGGCTTACGAGCTTCGCTGTTTGGAGAAAAACCCTAAGCCCCAAATGCGAGAAAACTGGTGGAACTTGCTCCGTGCACTTTTCTCGTCATGCCCTCACAACCTGGAACCCTGAACAATACATACATCCTAGACCTTTAACGCTGAACCCGCCAAGGCTAAAACTGAACTTCCTAAACCCGATGAAACACTGCGCGCCGTTCTACACCCTACAAACCCTAGCGTAAGCCCCATTAAGAAAGCTCGCGCTCTTAGGGGTTTAGGGCTGTGAAGTTGCAGGCTAGGCCTAGGTCTTGGATTACACGGTTTCAGAGCTTACGGCTTGTAGGATTCAGGGGTTTATCCTACGAATTAGTTTGTAGAGTTTGGGAGTTCAGGGGTTACGGTGGTAGACAGTCTAGGAATTTGGGGCTTTGTCAAAGGCAAGTAGTGCTATGTTGGACCGATCCGCCACAGGTTCTAGTCTATCGCAAGCATGTCCTCACCAAACTCCCTACGGACTGACTGCTACAAAAGCCTTTGTTCAAACACTCTACACCGTGCAAGATCTCTACTCTACTCCATAAATGCAGAACAGAAACTAGATAACTAACGGAAGAAATCCCACAAGTAGACCGATATCAGCTCTGCTGAGCGGATCAAAGGTCTTGCTTCCTCCAAGTTTGCATCCCTACAGGATTTTGGGCTATTGGGTTTCATAAAATCCAAACCCTAGGGCGCCTGCGTCTGCCTCGCTTGAACGTTCGGAATCGCACATCGCATCCTCGACCTCCTCCACATGCGCCGGATCCATCGAGCCGAACCTCACATTGGCTTTGAAAAGCATGTATACGGCTCATTTTACTGAGTTTGCTCCAGACCGCTCTAAGGGTTTATGGATTACCCTAAACCCTAAACCGTGTTGTTTAGGTGTCCAAATAATGAGGCTCCCTGTCTGAAGCCCCACAGAAGCCGAATTGATTCAAAGCCCTCGTACTTGAAGGATCCTGCGACTTAGTAACCATAGGGTTATAAGTACCTGAAATGGGGATATAACTCATTACAACTGCAGTTACCTTACTTATAACCCCAATTACTAAGTCCCATGATCCTTTGAGTAGTGTTCACGGGCGAGTGCCAACTCTGAAACGCGCAAAAAGGCATGTGCTGCCGCCACAGAGGAAGCGTGCAAAGAGTTGTAGCGTAAAGGGCGAGGTTGGCAATCCAGTCGGCTATACCGGTAACCTCGCAGACCTGCCGATAAGGGGGGGCGGGGTGCGGGGTGGGGGAGGCGGCAGGGCGGGGGCGCATTTCCCGCCGAAGCCGGGGTAGTTTGTGCAAGCCGGAGCCGGTGGTAGGTTGTGCAAATACTTCTCGAGGCTTCGAGGACTTTTGCTAATTTTTCAATTTCTTCCAGATTACAAATATATATATATATATATATATATATATACACATATACATATACATATGTATGTATCCTTGTCAAACGCCGCAGACTCTGAACCCCATGCACCCTTGCCTTGCTACTCGACTATCGACTCGACGTTGAGCCCAACCCTCAATTCTCCAAGAGCCCACAGATACTACCAACGAATTATGTCCCAAAAGACCATCCCTATAATGGGAAAAAGGGAGCCAAGTCCATAATGGTAGTAGCCCTGAACTCTCTGGGAATTTGCAGCCGAGAGGCATCGAGACGGAATGAAATCGCTCTACAGCCGAGGGTACAAGACGCATCATGGAGCTCCGCCTTGTGGGCAGACTATTATACCTATAGTCTCCACTGTAGTTCCTTGTTTTGGTTTTCCAGTTTTATGGTTAGGATCCTATAATAAAGATTTTGGTTAACCAAAAAAAGGAACTACAATGGAGACTACAGGTAGGGCCCCTAATACCTACCTATACTACTTGGGAAGACGGGGGCGCCTTATCATTGATATAGCATGGTATACTCCACAACCCTAGTCTAATCATTCAGGCCCCAACGCTAAGATTGTTTTAGGGTTGTATATGGGCAGTACTGGGGGTAATATCAGGGACGTTGACAGGGGGTCAAGAAACATGTGATGTAGCAAGTAGGTCCTAAGTAGCTTGCTTATTGGGGCCATAGTAGCAAACCTCTTTGGGGTACGGCAAATCTTACTCTGCCTACATATCTGCAAACGTCTTTAACTGAGACTAGTGACTAGGATGCCTAGGTCCCTGAAGGAATGTAGACAGACCGGAGGTGTACGAAGAGGCAACTGCAAACATAGCAGTGTGAACGTCATGGCTTGCAGGAATTGGGGCGGATATGCGATAAGCCTCAAGCCCCATAGCAGTTCCTTTTTGGGATTACCTGATAGGAGTCCGCATATGAATCCCCAAAAAGGAACCACTATGGGGCCTATGGATAAGCCTTAAGCCTTTTCCATCAGCTGCCGATCAAAGTGGCTTTCGATCTCCGAAGTAGGTGCTGCTCTCCCGCTCTACGGCATTTCGAATGACCTGTGGAGCAGGAGCAGGATCTACCCAAAAGCCCCAAAGTAGTTCTTTTTTGGGGTTCGTATATAGAATCCTATAGGGTAATCCCAAAAAGGAACTACTTTGGGGCCTCTGGGTACACTGCTTGAGTTCAGGATGCACCTGGGGACGAGGTCCTGTAGTGCTGGCGATGCCAGACTCGCATTACCCTAAAAGTCCCAAACCTGTGCGACCCTCAACTCTTTGGGCAACAAACGGTCAAGGAATAGGGTTTAGGGTTTAGAGTTTAGGGTTTAGGGTTTAGGGGAACTTACACTAAGTTAACATAAGCAGGAATGTATGTGACCTACTGCATATAGCACTTACAGTGGCAACTTCAGTTTAGTTCTGACCAATGAAATTCTGACTTTAGGGCTTATGTGATTGCTATGGCTTCCGTGGTCAGAGGAGCTTGAACCGTGCAGAAATCCGCAGAGAGAACTCCAAAAGGGTCCTACCGGGGATGTGGGTGTCAAGTTTAGGAGTCAACTTGGAGGATCAAGGGAATACAGCCTAAGATTATGCGCCTCAATTGGTTTTAGAAGTACTTCTCTTTGTAGCTACCTTCTTAATCGAAAAACCTAGACAGAAAGTCAAATGATTCGTTAAGCAGGGCTGACAATGACTCTGTTCTCGAAGCCGCAACACACAGACGGAGATGCAGGAGCAGGCCGTGCTTAGGCACAAGACCGTAAACAAACCCTAAATCCTTCTGAAATCCAAACTTAACCTTGCCCTCTGCAAGCGAAAACCAGCACCATCACATGCCCATGTCTGGATCTCAAAGGCAACATTGCCCTGACCCCTCAACCCTCAACCGGCTTGTCTGCAAACAGTTGGGGATGTATACAGTATGCTCATCAAATCGTCTTCGACTCTTCCGTCTTCGACTCTTCGGATGAAGTGGTAAGCCCTGTGGTGCTTTGGGATGGCACTCGGACCAGGGTTACATCAAAGGGCTTCAGGCGGCTTGGGGAATACTGGTCCCGGAAACACAAAACGAATTGTTAAAGGCAGGCAGTAGACCCACACGACTCCATCTACCTACGAGCAACCACGACGGCAAAAAGCATGCAGTTCAAGCCCTTCTGTTGGGTCTTCTTTGCTCTGATATGAACAGCGACCATTCCTTTAAACCTTGAAGTGCAGCAAACCGGCAAGCCCTCAACTGCCAATGTGAAAACATGGACGCCTCCGTCGCCACATTTTGCGTCGCAAGGCTGGACTCGCAGTGCGGGTGCTTTCCCACCTTACCCATAGGCTCCATAGTAGTTCCTTTTTGGCAAACAAGGAACTACTATGGGGCCTATGGGTAGTTTCAGGTTTCGAGATCTCAAGGTCGAGGCCGTCAGGATGTATGCTTGGACTGTTTCAGCAAGTGGTGTGGCCTTAGAAGGACTTTGCTGTGCTCTTCGGCGCTCGTGGGTCGCAAGACTGCCGAAAATGACTAGTTTGGCGCCAAGGTTCCTAGACCTAAGAGTAGCCTAGGAATAAAAAGGGTGTCCTTTTTGGTTTAAAGAGGCCTATAAGGGAACCTGAACCCTAAAAAAAGGGAATAAGGGCCTACTCTAGGTCCTAGGTTCTGTCTTCACGACTCACAGCTGTTTGGCAGAGTCGAGGACTCCGGGTGTTCGCTTAACGCCTGGTTGGCCATCTGTCGCTTAGGGTAGACCCACGACCTACGAAGTGGAGACCACCTGTGAACTTTCAAGCTACGGTTCAGGGTTTAGTAGTATAGGGGTCAGGGGTTGAGGGCTAGGAGTATAGGGGCAACGGGTTTAAGGGTTCAGTCTCCGAGACTGCTCCTGTTCACGTGAACGGCACAAACTCGACACGTTCGGCCCTAACCTTCAAAAAGTCGTGGACAACGCAATTCCTGAAATCCTGAACCCCATATTGGCCTACAAACAACATCCCATGTCCCGCGCCGCATCCTGCAGGCACTCTTGCATAGATCTCTGAACTTCGAAAGAGTTATGCTCTAAACCTTGCCCGTAGTCTCCATTGTAGGGCCTCTTTTCGTATCCAGTTATTATCGGATTTCTAACTATAAACCTTGATTCAAAAAGCAAAGCAACTCCAAATTGAGACTATAGGCAACCCCTACTTGGAGGTTCATCGGTGGAAATAAGTGGATGTATGAGTCCCCTAATACGGGTTGTAACTATACTTACCCTACTTCTACGCCCATTTACAACAACCCATGAACCTCCAAGTAGGCCCACAAACCTTAACCCCTGAACCCTCACTCTTCAGCCATGGGCCCGAGAAGCCCCGACGAGCCCAAAAAGCCTAGAGCATAAACCCCAGCTTAATATGGGGGCCCCATCATGATTACCTATCCTATTTTTTGGGGGGGCTCCTTCTTACAATCATAGTATAATGTATCCCTAAACCTTATTCCAATTATTAAGGCCCTCTATACCATATCCTTGAACCCTTAAAGGACCCCTTTGAAGGAGCCCTATTCCAAAGATTAAGGCCCCTATAGTAGGGTTTCGAGACCTCTCTTGGTCTGAACCCGAAGCCGCAACCCTCTTCGGTAGATCTCTGAATGCTGAGGTATCGGCCAGCATGGGTTTGAGAATGGTCGCTCGGAACTGGCGGGATTGTGCAAGTTTTGCTCAGTAAGGGTTTGGGGTTTAGGCTGCATTTGATCTTCGAAGTACAGCCCTTGTGTCGCTAGAACTGCTGCTTGGATTGTAATGCCTTGCAAGATCGTTTTGGGTTGCAGACTGCTCATGCGGGCTCCTTGTCTGGGTTTGGGGATTGGATGTCAACCCATGCCTTAGCTTCTATGAGCATACATTGGTACGGTCCCCATACAGTAACAGTCTATAATAGGCTTGCTATTAAGGGCCTTATATATCTATATTATGAATATTAGGCAACTGTTACTGAGTAGGGGCCGACCCAAAGCATACATGTTCACAAACATCAGTGGGAGATCGAAGGTTGTTTTAAGTTTTTGGGTTCTGGAACCCTGAACCCCTAGAGGAAGGGATGATTGCTGCACTCTAGGGGCTGGTGGGTCTACTTCTACCCGGATGGAACAAGCACGATCAGAAGCCGCAACTCGACTCTTCGACCCCTCAGCCCAAATTCTAGCTGAGGGCTTAGTTTCATGGCATGGTGCTTCATATCTTGAGTGAGGCGCTAAACTGTTGACTTCCGTCGGGCATCGTTGTGTCTTCAGAAAAAAGTTTTACAAGCCGGGGCTGGTTGCGATCAGTGGGCTCGGAGCCTCAAAACCATTCACTACATGTCGATTTCTACAGTGTCAACAATTATTCAGAACTAGGTCTGCGTAGTAAGCTATACGGGACATGAGCAACTATCCCAAATCGATACCTAGCTTAGGGTCTATTGGGTCTTGGACCTACAGCATCGGGTCTTGCTTGGACCCTGACCCCTGTACCCCCAAGCCCTCAGACCCCAAGACCAAAGACCCCACAACCCTCACATGGCCTGAAGTTTAAAGCGACTACTCACTCCATTGCAACTATATGCAGTTGTCGGAAATCTAAATCCTGAATCGTGCAACCATAGGCTCCATAGCAGTTCCTTGTTGGGATTACCTTCTAGGCTTCTACCTACAAACCCCCAAAACGAACTACTATGGAGCCTCTAGGTAAATCCTAAAGATCAACTTACCTAGTTCATTATTGGGATAGGAATAAAGATGTACATTTTTATTCCCTATTGGGTTTAAGTACCCATCAAGATGTAAAATGCTACCCAACTATGACAAAGTTGCGAGGTTTTGGAATGGTTGGTGCTATCTCCATGTCTACCGAAGCTTCAGGGATCAAAGCTTCGGAGACTGTAAGGTTCCTTAAAGGGTTCCTGAAAGGGCTCTTTAAAAGCGATCTATAAGGGTATGATAAGAATACTACAAGGAAGATTGCGGAGGTTCTGAGGATTACGATTGGGTAATGGGCAAGATAAACTAGAAGCGCAAGGTACCTCAAGATTGATGGGTGTATCCGCTGTCTCCTGGAGAATTGGTAAGCCGTACACTTGTCAGTTTTGTTATAACACCTGGACGGGGGCCGTCAACCGCAACCGTAAACCGTAGCCCTGAGCCCTAAACTCGGCAGACTCCTTTGTAACGCCGATGAGCTAGCATCCACAAGATGTTCTCTGAATATCTTTGAATCCTTCCCAGTCCCGACGACCCTGATCCCAGCAACAGAAAAAAACACTATGCAGATCCCAAAAAAATGAGATGCACCTTGTTGCCCAAGTGGTAGAACATCCCAGACTGGTCGGCTGCACCGTACAGGCCTTGAGGCATTCTCAGAGGTCCCTGAACCCTACAGTAGAAGCCTAAAAGTTGGAAACCCCATAGCCTCAATCCTTAAGAGTAATGTATAGAGAATCCCAGCACTATTTGGCCTTAATCCGGTTTCCAACTTTATGGGGTTTACTATAGAGGGCCCAAGCCGGCAGTTTGGGGCTTCCAGGGGAGTCCGAATGTGGGATTCATGGCCTCGGGCTCAGGGGCGAAAAAACATAATCGTCATCTGGGAGTTTCCGAAATTTAGGGGTACCTTATTTTGGGGTCCTTATAATAAGGATCCTACTATTTAGGGTACTAAATTAGGGTCCCCTAGTTTCGGAAACTCCCATCTTATCATAGCTGACTCAAGGGCTTAAGGTGCCCTGCACGCAGGCGGGTAAAGTCCGTTGCTTCCTGCATTCCGGAACTATGAACATTCACGGTCCAAGGAGCCACGCTGCACATACGTGCATATTCCAAGGATCGAGGGGCTAAGTAAGTGCGGCTCTTCGTCAGGAAACTATCGCTCCAAGTGCTCAGCGTAAGAACCCAGCTACGGAAGGGCATCACCTGCAGCACCGGAAACTCCACGGACTAGGAGTGAAACGCATGAAGCTGCTAGCTTCTCTGCGGTCTACCATGCTTTGTAAGACTCAAACAGGAAAAGTTAATCCAACACGCCCTGAGCAGTTGCTGCACATACAAAGGCAAGATGGGCTACCTGAAAGGAACGAACAGATAAGAAAGGGGCCTTAATAATTAGAATAGGGTTTGGGGGCCCAGTATACTATAATTATTATAAGGAAATCCCAAAACAGTCTAGATAATTATTAAGGCCCCTATAAGAGGCAAGCCACTGGCGTCCTCCGGAACTTGCATGCCCCAAGGCAGTCCTGGATAGAATAAGGGCGGCAGGTTCGGCAGTAGGCTGAGGATTCGGGCAAAATGAGGTCGTTCTGAGTTCGCATGCTACTCTGTTAGCCTTGCTTCATGTTGCGGCTCTCTTTGCGAAAGTGGGGTGCTCGTGACGTTGCTGCAGTCGTTGCTCTTGCTGGTGCTGCTGTTGCTGCTGATCTTGATGCTGATAAGTTGGCATTCATTCCTAGTGGTGTTGGCCATGGTGGTGGTGGTGGTGGTGGTGAGAGGTGGTAGTGGGTGGTGGTGGGTGGTGGTGGGTGGTGGTCGTTGTTCTGGTGTTGGCGCTAATGCTGCTCGTGCTGCCTGTCGTGCTGGTTGCTGCTTGCGCAGCCGTTGGCACTGATGAGAGTGATGGCAGTGTTGTGGGGATTGACATCGCTGCTGATTGTGCTGCTGTTTCTCGGGCTGCTGGTGGCGAACTGCATTGATGACACTGCTAGTGATTGTAACAAAGGTGTTGTTGTTGACTGTGCTCATTCTGATTGTGTTGGCAGTCAAGTTCCATCTGGCATGCTTGGGTTTGTTGATCAGCGCATCGTTGACATGTCTGACTATGCCGAATTGATGTGAGAAAGGCTCCGATCTTTTGATTCACTGACTACGAGTGGAATGTAAAGCTTAGTGTATAGGAATGGTCCCTGAGATATCACTAACCCTCAGCCTTGACCACCGACCTACTAAACACCAAAGGTGCGGCCGTCTGCTGCCGAAAAGCCTATGAGTTGCAGCACGAAGCCTGTAGAACCGCCAAAAACCTGAGCTGCGGCCATTTGTGCTCTCTTGGTTTACCCAGAGACTCCAATATCCCTTAATTAAGGAATATTCCTGAAATCATATTAGGGATCCTCTCATAATTTAAGGTATATTCCTTAATTAAGGAATATTGGAGTCTCTGGGTTTAGGGTTCAGACAAGACTTAGGCTCTGCTTAAGGGCCCCTTACAGCTGCCTGCGCCCAGCGATCCGGGCTAGCAGAACCTTACGGTTTTCCCAAAACTACCAATACCCCGTGACTCAGGAATATTTTGTAGACCGACCCCTACACCCTAAACCCTCATTCTAGTATGATTCAGGGTGTAGCAGGGGCTCTTCGGGTTGGTTAGGAGTTGAGGCTCGTTTCAGCCACACAGGGGCTCAGAACTTCGTGGCGCCTTACTTAAAGGATCATGGGACTTAGTAGTTGGGGTTAAGTAAGGTAGCTACAGTTATAATTAGTTATATCCCCAATTAAGGTACTTATAACCATACATACTAAGTCCCATGATCCCCCAAGTAGTCAGGACTACTCACGCAATGACTGTCAGTGCATGCAAGGTGGGATTCTGCATCGGGATCCCTTTTCTGAAACTCACACAGGCTTCAAGACCATGCCCAAACTACAAGAACCGGAACGTGACCGAGTTGTGGGACACATGACCTGCGACTCTAAGCTTAAGCAACTTGCCATGGAGGGTCCTGCATCACTGAGAGTAGACTCGTTACGGTATATTTTGTGACGGAAACTAACGGAAACCTTTGCATGTTCATGTGACGCTTGTTGTGCCGGTTGCATGATTGATGGACGATGGTCTGGGCGCTAAAGTATATGGATCTCTGTGTGTTTCAACCGTTCCAACATGGAACATGTGCTTAAGTACAGCACAACAGACGATGCCGAAGTGAGCGTGTATAACATTGCAACACCTTCACATGCTGACTGGCTACATTCAGCGAAGACCTCGTTAGTAAATCACAAAAACCCGAACTCGGGAGTAGCTTCGTGCCCATTGTATGCCTCCAAGAAGCGAGCAGATAGACGCCTTGGTTTGTGTAGGGTTGAAGATTTGCGGGGGTTAGGGCTGGGGAGACTTATGTAGAGGATTGTGGGTTATGCCTCGTCAGGACTTGTACTAGGGTCCGTGAAGTGGGGTAACAAGCACACGACAAGCAACACCTAGACAGGCTTCTGAAGGCGCGTCTCCGTTGAAACAAAGACTTGTTGGTGTACCTAAGGGCGGTTAGATGCCGCTACTAAAAGAATCATGGGACTTAGCAATCGGGGGTATAATTCGGTATAAGTAAGGTCTCTACAGGCATAGTTATTTCTATCCCCGATTAGGGTACTTATAACCCTAAATATGAAGGTGCCATGATCCTTCAGGTACTCCCCAAGCCACCGGCTTCGGGAGGCAACAAATCCATGAATCTCAAAACCCCGACCCAAAGGGTCCTAAGTAGCTAAATGGGGAACACTTACCTACCATAATTGTACTTCGTACTGTAGTATTCCTAGACCTAAGAGTAGCCTAGGAATAAAAAGGGTGCCCTTTTTGGGTTAAAGGGGGCTTATAAGGGAACCTAAACCCTAAAAAAGGGAATAAGGGCCTACTCTGGGTCCTAGATTCTATGTAAGTACTTAGGACCGTTTGGGAAAGCGCTCCCTCGTCTCTCAAAAAGCTTCCCAAGGACTCCAATACTTATCCCTTAACTAAGGAATATTCCGTAAATTCTACTAGGAGCCCTAGTATGATTTAAGGTATATGTTCCTTTAATGAAAGGATATTGGAGTCCCTGGGTTCCTTGAAGCTGAGGTTTCAGGTTTGTTTTCTGAATATCTTGCGGGAGGCCACAGCCGAACAGCCCGTAGCACAGACCCATCAAGGCCTATATAAACCCGGACAGCTAAGTTACTGTAGGATCTTGGAGAAGAATCCGAAGGAGACTAATTAATGCAAATCAACACCCCACAGCCCCTACTTTAGACCCCGAGCATGCAGAGCTGCCGGCAACAAAAACCGCGGGAAACCTAGCGCCGACTCTCGTGAACAGCCCGACAGATCATTCCTGAATCGTGCGCGACTTAGCGAAACCCCAAACCCCAAACCCTAAACCCCTAAACCCTACACCCTCAACCCCAAACCCGAAACCCTAAGCCGCACCACGGGTTTTAGGAGCTGAGGATTCGACTCAAGTCTTACTTGGAGGATCATGGGACAGAGTAAGTAGGGTTATAAGTACCAAACTTGGGGTTCTAAGTAACTATAACTATAGTTACTAGTACCTTGCTTATAACCCCAGTTACTAAGTCCCATGATCCTTAAACCCTAAACCCTTATGGTACCCCTTATAGATCCCTTTTAAGGAACCCTTTAAGGATCCCATATAGGGACCCTAAACCCTAAACCCTTGTAGTACCCCTATAGATCCCTTAAAGGGACCCCTTAAGGACCCCAGTTACTAGGTCCCATGATCCTTTAAGTATAGGGACGCAAAAGGCTGCGAGTTTCTGGGCTTTTAAGTAACCAGGGAGAAAAAAGTATAAATGTTTATTTCATAATGGTTCCATTAAGAAAAAAGTTTTTTAAAGTATGGTACTCCAAAGGCTGCGAGTTGCAAATCATGACAAAGGTGGCATCCACCAGCTCACTCTTCGCTGACGGAATCTCGTTCGACTGGTCGACATACCTGAGGTTTAGGGTTTAGGATTTAGCAGCTCCGGTTCGAGCAGTTTCTAGTCAAGCTTGCAAGTTGGATCTGGCAGAATACCCACCCGCCCATAGAATCACATACCATTATAAGAAATACAAAGTTTTATCATTACCTTCAGCTTAGTTCAACACAGTCAACTTATCAACAAAGCTTTGAATCCTTAAAGCTTCACTAAAGCTTCAGTGGTATGGTATCCCACCCCCAAAGCCCAAGCCCTAGGCACTAAACCCTAAAGCCCAAAAACCCTAGGTCCTAAACCCTAAAGCCCAAACCCTAGGCACTAAACCCTAAAGCCCAAGCCCTAGGGCACCGGTGTTCACTTTTGGATTAGCACCGGGTGTTCACTTTTGGATTAGCACCGGGTGTGTTCACTTTTGGATTAGCACCGGGGTGGTGTTCACTTTGGATTAGCACCGGGTGTTCACTTTTGTATTAGCACCGGGGGTGGTGTTCACTTTTGGGTTAGGGTCGGTAACCGCTTTTCATTAGGGTGTATATACATTATGATATTAGGGTTTAGGGTTTAGGGTTTCAGGTTTAGGGTTTAAGGTTTAAGGTTTAGGGTTTAGGGTTCAGGGAGACGTTGGGAAATAGGGGTTCCAAGTTTATATAGTGGGCTACGGAATCAGGCACTGAGGCCGAGAAATGTCTGCTTATGGGTTGCGAGATACGCAGTGCCAGGTCCGATAACTAGCAATGAGGTTGCACTGATTCGGAACATTTAGGAACTGGTTGTCAAAATTATGGCCCCTTTTGGGGGGGTACCCAAAATAGTAGGTGCCGTATACTATGTCCCATGATCCTCCAAGTATCTCTAGACTCAGTGCTCAAGATTTAGCACCAGTATTGTTAGCAGGAAAAATCAGCATTCGCATCAATATTTGTATAAGTCTTAGTATGTAATAGGCGTAACATTAGATCTGGTCTGGATTGCCGAGATGTTCCAAGCTTAGGTTACCTTCGCAACGGCGGCGTTGCAAAGCGGGATTTTGCATTCCAGCTCCCTCGTAGAACGGTAGCACCTCAATTCACAACACACCAAAGCCTGTCCGGAATAAAGCCGGCTGACACCCGACAATGTCACAAGGTCAAATCTAGGTCCTTCACCCCTGGGTCTTTTGTGCAGATCCGTTCGCTCACCCAGCTCCAGTGCCAGCACTAACCTCGTCTGGGCAGGGAGGTGAAGCCATGAATATTGCTTGAAGGCTCATGGGACTTAGCAAGTAAGGTTATAAGTAGGTTATAATTAGGATAACCCCACTTAGGGGACTTATAACCCCAATTATAACCTATTTACTAAGTCCCATGACCCTTTAAGTGCAGACGAGCAACTTTCAAGGAGCGCCTATGCACTAAATCCGAAACCCGAAAACCTAGAACCCAAGCTCTAAACGAACCCTAAACCCTAATCCCTAAACCCTAAACCCTAAACCCTGAACCATAATCCCCAAACCCTGAACCCTAATCCCTAAACCCTGAACCCTAAACCCTGAACCATAATCCCCAAACCCTGAACCCTAATCCCTAAACCCTGAACCCTAAACCCTAAATCCTAAACCCTAATCCCTGAAGCCGAAATTAAACGAACCTCTGGACTGGAAGCTCTCACGGGCAATCGATTCATGCTCGGGTTTGGAAACTAGTCCAACCCGAGGGTTACCTGGAAGGTCAGGGGACTTAGTAAGTATGTGATAAGTAGAGATATAGGTACCTTAAACGGAGTTTCCCCAATTACAACCCTACTTATAACCCTACTTACTAAGCCCCCTGCCCTTCCAAATAGAAGTTATTGTGGAGTCAAGCCCTAGCAACAGGAACAATCTACACTTTAAGGTTACAGGGTTACATTAACTATCTACTTCCACCGCAAAAAAACCCTGCACCGCTGAGCCAACGCAGATCATATGTATGGGCCTTAGGCCGCAAACACAAAGACCCTCCTGAACCTTACCAAGAGGCTGAGCTTAAAGCTGGCGTTTTCTGAAACACTCTGATATCCCTAAACCCTAAACCCTAAAACCCTAACCCCTAAAGAATTCCTGATTGGCATCTCGAACTGCACAAGCACGTTCCCGTTCTATCAGGGTTCCTTTAAGGGTTCCTGTAAGGGTTTAGGGTTTAGGGTTTAGGGTTTACATGAGCCCCAAAGTACCTATATAGGGACTACTTTAAGGGCAACGTATATACTATATGAGTACATGGACCCTTAGGGTATCCCATACTGCTTCTGCTTTTTAGGCCGAAACATGAACCTTGAAGCGACCAGCCCAAGGAGTAGCCAGATAGAATTCCTAAAGAATACCCCTAAACCCTAAAAAGCTAAAGCTTAGAAGCTGCCCCCACCCTGTAATAGTGACTATATAAGGATTATATTAGGGCTCCATTATATTCCTCTTATACCACTATTACAGGGTGGGGGCCCCTTGTAAGCTAAACCCAGCAACTCTGGCAGCCTCGCCATCCCTTCCTTCGACGGAGCCAGGTGACCCGATACCACCTCTCAGCCCCGAATGCCAAAGCATCACCTCTGGGCGATAATAAGGCTTAGGCTTTAGATGGGTCCCCTAAGGCTCCATGTACCCATATAGTCATATAGTATATACTTAGGCCTTAAAGTACCTATATAGGGACCCCTTCAAGGCTTAAGTATCTACTATAAGGGTACATGGAGCCTTTTGGGGTCTTGGGCTCAGGGTTATAAGTTTCGGGGCTTTACCGTTTTAAGTGGTTCAGGTGGGTTTTGGGGTTTTAGCTGATGGGAGAGGAGAGATCAGGGCTTAGGGTTAAGGGCTCATTTTTGTGATTCCTAGTGTTATTGCTAGTGCTTTTTTACTTTATCATTTATCAAAACATTGTCTTTTACTCTTGTAAAAGTTCAACTTTCTGGCCTGGTAATGAGTTCTAGATTCTAGCTTTATAGTGAAACGCAGCTGTTTTGGAATTAGCGGTCCCCTTCTTCAGGGATCCTTACGATAAGGATCCTACTATCTAAGCTCCACACTAGTGTTCCTCACTTTCTGAAACTTCCACGCCATCTACCTACGCACATCGAAACAGGCACTTGGATGCCGGAACGGCGCTTCCCAACAAGATCCCGGGGATGAGTTGAGGCTTGCAGGGCTTCTGTAAGCCCATGATCATTAACCCCCCTTTGCCTTAAGGGCCTGAACACTAGGATCTCCAATAGAATACAATCTAAGGTAAACCCTAAACCCCTAAACCTCTAAACCCTAAACCCCTAAACCCTACACCCCTAAACCTCTAACCCCTAAACTCTAAACCCTATAAACCCTAAACGAGGGGTGATTTCTCCGACTTGCAGGCCCAAAGCTCCATGCCCACCCTCCCGATCCGACGAAACGCCAAAGACGACTTCTAAGGAAACTGACCCTGTTTAGGGTTTAGGGTGTCCATGTACTCAAATAGTATATATTTTGTCCCTATATAGGTACATTGGGCCCAAAGTATATACTATTTGGGTACATGGACCCTTAGGGTGAGGTGAAGCACTGGGAACAAAACACTATACGTCTCAACACGACGCCCTCAACTAGACTCAAAGAAGCTGAAGACCCAAGTTATACAACTTACGAGACCCAAGTTATACAACTTACGGCTGATGACATAAATCCTGCATTACCCACAATAAGGGAGATACCATAATTCCCATAGCCTAGGGCCTAGGGTCCTTAAGGTAGTGCAGGATTTAAATCATCAACCGTATGAGCCTTTCTCTGCCTACCCTCCAACCCTCTTTCGGCACCCAACATGTACTTATGAGCCTTAAGACTTAAGCGCAATGTCACGAGGCCCTATAGGCAGTTCGTTCTAAATCCTGAACCTTTACACTGTACATACTCACGGGCCGAGGCACGTTAAGTCTAACATTGTAACACTAGACCAAAGAGTAACATAGAAACAAAAAGGGTGCCCTTTTTGGTTTCAAGGGTGTTCTAAGGGAGCCTAAACCCCAAAAAGAGGAATAAGGGCCTACTCTGGGTTTAGGCTATCCCACGCTCTAACCCCTGAAACCCCATTATAGGGGCCTTAAAAATTAGAATGTGGTATTGGGCTCCTTTATAGTCTAACTTTAATAAAGAACCTTAAATTCCCTAAAGAAGAATATTCACCCGTAGATTAAAGCAATGAACCCTAGGACTTCTTGCACCTGGTGCTTCCAGGTGATGAAGTGGCGTTTTTCGGTCTCGATGCGCTGGCTGACACACCACCTTGGGGTGCCCTAGGGCCTGAACTCCGAATTTGGTTGAAAGTGGTACTTGGGCTTCTTTTTTGCATGTCGGGTCTGGGTTTCAGTTTAGGTGAGGGTTCTGGGGCTCGACTATGGGCGCATTGTTTCGGACTACAGTTCACGACCTGGCAGACCCCTGCAGAAGAGAGTTCGGATAGTATGCCTTCTAGAAATTTGAGTTGAAGGTTCAGGAGAAAAACCGAGATGTTGGACAAACTGCATTATCGATGCAAAGGACTCCAACATGTTCTGGTTTTCATAGAGGAGAGGTCTTAACTAATGTTAACAAAGCCCATCAACAACCCAAAGGGTCCTATGTACTGTTATGGTGGATACTTCCCTAAGTCATAATAGTAATTCCTAATATGGAAACCCTACATTCTACTATATGGGTACATGGGACCCTTTGGGCAATGCGACGGACATGTTAGAGTGCAGAGGACGAAATTTGGAGCCTTCCTCTGTTCAGGAGACCTCGAACTCATTGAAGTGTTTCGGATTACTTGGGGGTAGCTTTAGGGTTCCTTTAAAGGGTTACTACAAGGGTTCCCTCTTTTAACGGGCTCTATAAGGGTCTATAGAGTTTCCGAAAACAGGGGCGAAGTTTGGTGTTTGAGCCAATGATTCGGGCTTTTTGCTGTCATAGCTGTAGTGGACGTAGATGCTTGTCTCCGGGACTGTATGTTCTGCCAACACTGCCAAACTGCTGCATGATTACAGATTTCTGATTTTGTCCCCCACCCATAGATCCATTTACAGTACCGCATTCAAACATCTAGCAGCAAAGTCGTGTGGGTAAACACAAGCACGCCTACACAGGTGTAGACAAGCATACTGCAGATGAACATGCACATAGCATCGAGCTTGACATGTGTGGGCTGGAGTCCTGCCGGTGGGCTTGGATATCCACAGTCCACAGGGTCTCGGTGGACTCGCACAGTACGGAACACGCAAACATCCGAGATTTTGCTTGCGGCGACCTATCGATCGGCTTTGCAAGGTCAGCGGGGAGTTAGGGCTTAGATTAGGAGTAAAGGTTTGGCATCGCTTTTGTGGCTCATTGTGCTTAGGGCTTAGGGATGTATAAGAGTCGATGGAGCCGGTTTACGGTCTCAGGCGTGCAATATGCGAGTCATGTTACAAAGTAGCATGATGGATGATTGCAGATAGGTTGCAAGTTTCATCCAAGGCCTTCGGTTGCCCAAACCCTAAACCCCATCAAAGCAAATGGGTGGGTTTAGCCCCGGTGCTTAATGGAGTTGCAGATCCAGGACATCGGGAAGACTGCCGCCGCGCGTGCAACCAGGCAGATCAGCATGACCTGTCTCATATCTTGATCTGGGCGAAGTAGGATTCCTTTCAATACTCAACGACCTACTTGCAAATGAAAACCCTCGGCCAATGTCTACATTTCCTACCCTTACCTTGCCAACACTCAGGTTTCCTTGGTTTGGGGTTGAAGGTTTCTGAAGCCCTAAATGGGCTCTTGCGCCTAGATCCTACAGCTTAAAACTCCCCTTCAACCCGGCAGGTTCGGGACCTCAAACCCCACCAGCTGTGAAGCCTGAACCCTAGTCCCTACTTATAGTCTCCATTGTAATTCCTTTTTGGGGTTACCTTTTCGGATCCTTAATGCAAAGTTGGTTAAACCAAAAAAAGGAACTGCAATGGAGACTATAGGTAGATTCCCGAGACCCTCATCAACTGCAAAAACAAGACTTCAAGCAGCATTCAGGGAACAGGGCGGAGGGCGTTTGCAGGCCGTGAGGCTGCCCTACCTAGAGTCTCCATTGTAGTTCCTTTTTTGGGTTAACCAGTTTTATGGTTAGGATCCTATAATAGAGATTTTGGTCAACCAAAAAAAGGAACTACAATGGAGACTACAGGTAAACCCTAAACCCGAACCTCGACATCCTGGAGGAAAACTGCCAAATTAAAACCCAATGCCCTCTGAGGCCACGGCCCAGCAGCCCATAACCAGCCCCCTCTCACTGACATGGACCACCTGGAGGAAGATAGCATCAGGCTTGTTTCAGGCAGTAGAGCCAGGTTTACCACACAGAAAATCAAAGGGGCCTTAGACATTAGAACAGGGTTTTGGGGCCCATTATACTCTAATTATACTACATAAAAGGGAACCCCCAAAACAGTATAGGTAAGTATGAACCTTACAGCATGCGGAAAGTGCTAAATGCTGGCCAGAAGATAACGCCAGCTAGTGAATGCAATAGCTTCCCTGTCGCCCAAAAGACCTACTTGTTTAAGGAACTACTGTTGATGGTATAAATCCTGCATTACCCATAATGAGGAATATACCATTATTCCCATAGTGTAGGGTCCTTAAAGTAATGCAGGATTTATATATCATCAGCAGTACATATACAAACCATAATAGGCAACCCTAAAAAAGTCTTTTCGGCTACAGGACTGCTCTGCTGATGGTGGAGTAAGCCCTTTATAGGATACTGTAGGGGCCTGAATAATGAGACTAGGGGTCCTTTAAAGGGATCTATAAGGGCTGCTATAAGGGCTATTATAAGGACTTCATATCGGTGCCTCAATGATTAGAATAGGGTTTTGGGGGTTCCGTATTATATGTAGAGGATAAGATACCCCCTAACCCTATTCTAACTATTCAGGCTCTACATTAGGGGCGCCCTCCCCCTGTCCTTGAAATCAGTTCCAAGCCCTCAACCCGAAACCGTAAAGCTGCAGGCTTGTGGCAGGGGACCTCGTTGTCATTTCTAGGCAGAGTTACTTGGAGGTTCATGGGTAGTTATAAGTGGGCTTATAAGTAGGGTAGCTATAGCTATAACCCATATTGAGGGACTTATATCTCCGCTTATAACTACCCATGAACCTCCAAGTGGAGAATCATGGGACTTAGTCAGTATGGCTGTACGTACATTAAGTGGGGTTGCAAGTAAATAGAACTGTAGTTGCTTTACTAAAACCCCACTACTAAGCCCCATGATCCTTTTGTCACAAACGCGAAACTCTTGAGCCCCAAGACCCTTAAGCCTAGCCGGAATAGCTCACGCAAGGCCTGGAGTCCGCAATTCAGGAAGACGATCAAGTCCTCAGCTCATTCAGGGTGAGGTTGTCTCGGAGGCAAATTCAATACGAGGCAGGAAGGGGGTTCAGAGTTTAGGGTTTAGGGTAAGGGGGATAACATGCAACACAAAAGTGTGTCTGTGTGCGTGTGGCGGAAGTTGCCAAAACGTGCTTTTCCCAACATACAACGCCTCGGATCCCTAAAATTTCAAAACCTGCATACAGGCCACGCAAGAGCAGACCTGGGATTGGATCGCCAGCATTCCTTCTTCTGCAAATTCGTGTTAACAAGGAAACCCAGGATGAAGACATCAAACATGTAACGGGGTACTACGACACACCTGCTTGGCAAAACGCGAAGCCTTGTGCTAAGTCCATTCAGCAATCTTCAGGTAGCGGCCTTTAAAAGTCTAGGGCAAAGTAACCTTATAATTGACATGTCAGCTAAGATGCCCCTACCGAAGCAGCTTGCTTCAGCAAGAAGGACGCGAACGTGGTAGCCTTCAGACGTGAGACGGCTGAAGCATGGTGCATGTAATACCAGCTTCAGGCTATATGGGCGGTTGTCAAAATTAGGGTCCCTTTTGGGTCCTTAATATAATACGGCACCGAATCTTTAGGGTACCCAAAAAGGGGTCCTAATTTTCACAACCACCCATATTGCTGGACGGACTCTGGGATCCGCTTCGGGTCTGCGGTTTGACGGTTGATGGGGTCTACCCCGAGGCCCCAAAGTAGTTCCTTTTGGGGGGTCGTATATAGAATCCTATACGGTAATCCCAAAAGGGACGACTTTGGGGCCTATGGGTAGGGTTTGCAGATGTCTATCCGCGTTTGCCAAGCTTGTTCTCTGTTCTAAAACCTTAAAAATCCAAAAGAGCGCTCTCCTGAAGCTTCTTGAGCAAACGGTGTGTCAGACTTGAATAAATATAGGGGCCTTCATAGTTAGAAGAGGGCTTGGGGGGCCGATTATACTGTAATTATAACAAGAAACGCCCCAAATAGTATTGGGGAGTAAATACTGCGTATTTCCGCCTCCTGTGTCAGATGTGGAGGCGCGTAGCCGCCAAAGACGATGGAACCGAAAAGCACCTCGTGGCAAGACAGACACTGCAGCCCAACGGTGGCTGTCGCAGCAGATGCAGTTGTGGTAGAGTCCCCTAATTTGGGGCCCTATACTACTAAGGGTACTTTATAGGAACCCCCATTTGGGGATCTTTTTGGATCCTCCTGGGGGTCTGGGCAATTAGGGAATATACCCAACAATGAGGTGCCAGAAGCTCCCACTCAACCCAAAGCAACAGACACCCATCGGGACTCTGAACCCAACACCCCCCGAAAATCTCTTGACTCGGCCCCAATCCCGCAACCACCCCCAGAGCGGATTGTATAACGGCTGAGGCCCCAGTACGACTAGGCCCAAGCAGTCTGAAGATTAAAGGCTGAGGGTTGGTCTTGGGGTTTGAAGTTTGGCAGGGTGCGGAGAATAATCTTCTTCAACTCAGAGCCTTTCCCTTTGAGGAAGGTCGGGTCCATTCTCAAACACGGCGGTTTCGACACACCTCGACCTTTGGCAGCAAGCTCTGGACTTTCAGTGCTGTCCGCTGTGCTGCTGCACGGGTACACAACAAGCTGACAAGTGAAATGACAATCCTGCTGCTCCTAAATCCTAAACCCTAAACCCTGCTGCTGGCATCTGGGCACTGTGATGATGCCAGACATCTTGCACTGCTCCGCCAAGGCATACCTGCGACGGGTTTAGGGTTTAGGAGTTTAGGGGTTTAGGATGTAGGGTTTAGGGTTTACGGTCGCAGAAGAAACCACCATGTGGGAGTTTCCGAATCTAGGGGACCCTAATATAGTACCAGTACGACCCTTAAGGTACCCCCGATTTTCGGAAACTCCCATGTCAGCCCCGATGGACTCGAAGGCTAGTAAGGGCCTTAATAATTAAAATAGGGTTTTGGGGCCCATTATACTATAAGTGTATTAAGGAACCCCCAGAATAGTATAGGTAACTATTAGGCCCCTACCTTAAGCCCTCAACCACCAAAAACAGAGCCAAGAGACATGGCAAAAGGTGTGAAGAGCCTCGGATGTAGCATGGATCTTGCCGACTGCTTGAGGGATCATGGGACTTAGTAAGTAGGGTTATAAGTACCTTAATTAGGGTTATATGTACTAACAACTATAGTTACCTTACTTATAACCCCAATTACTAAGTCCAATGATCCTTTAAGTAGGTGGTCAGTCGCCGAGGGTTTCAGGTTTAGGTTCCAGGATAATTACCGGGGTTCGGATCTAGGGATCTGGGAGCTAGCCCAGAGCCTCCAAAACCCCTTAATTAAGGAATATACCTTAAACTCATATTAGGGGTCCTATTATAATTTAAGGTATATTCCTTAATTAAGGGGTTTTGGAGGCTCTGGGAGGACGGAGGAATCGAATCTTCATCTTCGGGTTCTGCAGATTCAGTACCGGCTGAAGCCTAAAGCATCTACGCTTTCAAGCCTGCCGCTTACAGCTTGAGCCATTCCCCCCTTCATTCGGGAGTTTCCGAACACCGGGGACCCTAGTATAGTACCGTAAATAGTAGCTAGACTGCTTATTATAAGGACCCCAAAAGAAGGTACCCCTTACTTTAGGAAACTCCCATTCGGCACAGGCACAGGAAAAGGATAGCGTCCGCAGAGGAATGGCCCAACCGGGTCGCTCGCATGATCATGATCGAGACCTTGCTCTTCTGGAGTTTAGGACTTACGGTTGATGATATAAATCCTGCATTACCCATAATAAGGAATATATCATAATTCCCATACTTTGGGGTCCTGAAGGTAATGCAGACTTATATCATCAGCCGTAGTTCCGCGATTTTGGGGTTCAGGGTTCGGTTCTTGGGATATGTAACCCCAAAAGCCTGAAACCCGATTCCCTGCTCTGGGATATGCTGCCTTGCGCTTAAGCTTCACTGGCCATTCTTGGGCATAGGAATCGAGAAAGCTACCCATAGGCCCCATTGTAGTTCTCTTTTTTGGGGATTACCTTACAGGATTCTAAATATGAACCCCCCAAAAAGCTACTATGGGGCCTATGAGTAATCCGGGCACGCTGTTTCTCAGAAACCCCGCATTCTTGTCTGCACCACTTCAGCAATGCAGCCCCACGTAATGGCAACCATCTGCTAGGGATGCCCCGGTCTGGTCTAAGTTCAAGGTGCCCCTAGCTGCGGGGAGCTTGCGGCTTCAGGCCGTAGGCTTATTTGGGAGTTGAGTTAATTCAAGGTTTAGAGTGTAAGGTCTATTGTGATGTGAGCTCTTGAATTTACTGATTAGGGCTCAAGAAGTTGTGTTCAAAGCCTCTCCATCCTGTAGCAGATACCCGACGCAATGCGGCTTCTTTGAGTGGTCATGCAGAACTTATTTAGCAGAGGGTTCGGCCCCTGAAGACTTTGGCAGTGCTTGACACAAGTGACATAAAAGCAAGAACATGTGATCCATCATCGACATCAACTTACCATAAAACCAAACGAAACGGCCAGAGTCGTAAACCCGTATAATCACCCTAATCCCTAACTCCCATGCCGTTGCTCGAACTTGCAGATAGAAACGCAGAGGTTCGTGAACAGACAGAACTTGGATCGTGCCTCGTCCCTGTCACACGTACAACCAACAATGGTGTAACACTGAAGGAAACCCTGCATGGAGCCCCAACAGGAACAATTAGGATGTCCTTAAGGGGGGGGTGGTCCAAGGGGGGTAGGTAACCTAGTAATCCCCATTATTCCCCAATACTCCCTAAGCTTCCCTAAGGTTCCCCAAAGCTCCCTAGTACCCTCCCCCCTTGAACGACCCCCCCTTAAGGATCCTATAAAACAACCAGCCCCCTGAGTCTGAAACCCAGAAGCACCGAAGAAAAACTATGAGCCACCGAGTCTCACCATCCACAAAGATCCAGACTCTGACAAATGGTCTAGGGTTCAGAGCTTAAGGTTTAGGCAATAGGGGGCACCGGAAAAGTAAGTTTAGCCTCCGACTGGGTCACAACTTTTGTCAAGAAGAGAACCTGCCTAGAGGCTCCATAGTAGTTCCTTTTTGGGCTCATACTTAGAATTCTACAAGGTAGTCGCAAAAATGGAGCCTATGAGTGGACAACTGCGGCATAGCCACGACGGCAAACGCGACACCCATGCCCAGGGAACCGAAGAAGAGGATGAAAACATGCAAGCCTCCAGGGCTGGTTCGAGTTTACTAGAGTTAAGGGTTTAGGGGTTACCCTGATGCCAAGCTTCCCTAAACCCCAAACCGAAACTCACAGTATCGAGCTCTGAGGGTGCCCGTTGAGACCAGTGGTGTTCGTGCGATGCTTGCCGCACCCTCTTACACGCTGTTTAGGCGGACGAAAGCAAACCCAACAACAAAGCGGGTGAAAGAGTACTACCACTGCGGGACCTATCGGTAAGGTTGTGTGTGTGTGATGACCCGCGGAAGGGCTTCGAGGGTATAAAGGGGATATAACTGATTGTTGAAGCCTGCAATCTAGTTTTGTTCGTCCTGAATGGTTTCGGCATTATTATAGAGGCCTGAGTAATTAGAACAGGGCCTTCGGATATTTTACGCTATCATAAGGATCGCCAAAACAGTGCTGTCATTACCTAGGCGTCTGTATGATGAGCATTGTTATTGTAACTATCGTTATTACTTGTTCTATGGTTTGAACATGCTGGGTTGCTGAGAGCCTCTGGGGCTCCAGTGTTGATGTGTAGGGTTTAACAGCCGAGCTTTTTTGGGCTCTCTGGTTTAGGGTTTCCGGGTTTAGGGGTCATTACGCAGGTGTGACGAGCTACTGAACAACGATAACACCCCAAGTCCCTATAGACTCAGCACTCTACTATACTCACTGAACCACCAAGACCCGATTCGCATGATTGAGGCCCGTTATAATACTCCTATAATCTGAAAGCAAACCCTGCAACACCCCCTGAACCCCCCAACTCTAAACGCCTAAACCCTACACCCTAAACCCTAAACCCTACACCCTAATCCCTAAACCCTAAACCCTACACCCTAAACCCTAAACCCTTTGACCTGGAGCCTTGGCCCTAGCTGCAGCACAAGGAGCAAAGCTCACCGAAGCTGGTGGAGCCATCCTAGGAAGGAGCTCGGTAGGCAATTTTTAGACCTTAGTGTAGGATTCTGATTAAGAAACCTTGGGCTAGGGTTCCTTATTATATGAATCCTACTATTTCGGAGTTATGTAGGCAGTTCTCTACTATAGGGGCCTTAATAACTAGAATAGGGCTCCTGCAAAGGGGTCCTTTAAGGGTTCTATAAGGGCTACTATCAGGATTTGGTATAGAGGAGTTAGTAATTAGAATAGGGTTTTGGGGCCCATCATACTATAGTTATAATAAGGAACCCCCAAAAGCGTTGATACTTATTTAAGCCCCTATGTGAAATCCGCTAAATCGGGGCCGAGTACCGGATCAAAAAAAAAATTAAACAGGATCAAAAAAAAACTTACTGCCCCAAGGATCAAAAAATATTTAAACAGGATCAAAAAAAATATATATGCGCCCGTACTTCGCGGAAGATACATTCCTGCTGCTCCTTCAGCTGCCAGTACTTCCCGGGAAACGATTTCGTCGTGCTCTCCATTGTGTCTGAGTCTGAATCCCGCCAATAGTAGAGGGCTAGGTCTGCGACCCCACGCGCTCAGGCATGGAATGTCTGCAAATCGGGCCAGGAGGACAGAGGTTGGATTCTGTGCAGAAAGTGTTTCGCAACGCAGAGGAGTTTGCTGCTTCGCCGTCCTCAGCCAAGCGGAAAATCTTCCGTATGACCCTGCCTGAAATGGTGCCTGTGCAATGCCTGCCGACTTGAAGCACACAGACGCCTTTCTTTTACGGGGCGTGCGCCTTCTCCTCCGGCAGCCGCTCTGTGAAACAGGCAGGTGTGCAGAAGGATAAGCCGACCGTGCTTTCACCGGCAGTCAAAACCCGCATGTTTTTCGGGTTTTTCTTGCACACCAAGCCCTCTTGCCCCCGAGCCAGCGCTCCACGGATTCAGGCGTTGACGGATTAGGACTTACGGTTCTGGGCTTGAGGTATGAGAGTTCAGGGTTTAGGGGTTTAGGGTTTGGGGTTTAGGGGTTGAGGGTTTAGGGCTCTGGGTGGTGAGGGATGCGAGGCCGAAGGGTAGGGGGTTCAAGTTTTGGGGGTTTTAGAGGCTTGGGGGAACCCTCAATTCAAGTTCAACTCCTGTCAGCAAGCAGACTACGAGGCCCGCAGCTCCAATGAAAGGTAAGATTTCAAAATGCCTCGACCAAGGGGGTGCGCCAGTTTCGTGTTGGGGCGTTTAGGGTTTAGGGATTCATGGAGCAAGGCATTGTGGCTTCAGCGAGGTAGGGGTTGGGATTAGGGTCTAAGAACTCAAATGTTAGGATTGAAGGGTTTCAAACAAACCCTAAACCCTGAACCCTAAACTTAGTGTGGCCCAAGCGACACCGGAGTTGATGGCCTCGAAGAGTGTAATGGCCACAGCATCGTTGATTTGGGATTCTCCGAAGACCTTACTTGGAGGGTCATGGGACTTAGTAAGTAGGGTTATAAGTACCTTCGTTGGGGATATAAGTAACTTCAACTGTAGTTAAGGAAGAACCCCAATTACTAAGTCCCATGATCCTTTAAGTCGCACTCTGGAGGTAAACAGAAACAGACGAACCCTGAAGCCCTAAACCCTAAACTAAACTCTAAACCTAGACCCTAAGCCTGAAACCCTAAGCTTATGGTGCCTAAATCCTAAACTAAACTCTAAACCTAGGCCCTAAGCCTGAAACCCTAAGCTTCTGATATGAATTCCCGCTGGCACTATACCTATAGTCTCCATTGTAGTTCCTTGTTTTGGTTGACCAAAACCTCTATTAAAGGACCCTAACCATAAACATATTGGGGAAAAATATGTTTTCCCCAATATGTTTAGTATTATAGGATCCGAACCATAAAAGTGGTTAACCAAAGAAGGAGCTAGAATGGAGACTCTAGGACCTGAGGCCTTCAAGGGAGCAGTCCCCCAGGCCAGGGTTCGTAATATGGGTCGTTGTCAATATTAGGGTCCCTTTCTGGGTCCTTATTATAACACGGCACCTGATATTTAGGGTACCCAAAAAGGGACCCGGGACCCTAATGTTGACAACCACCCATAGAGGGGTCTTAATAATTTAGAATAGGGTTCCCTGACTGAAAGGGGTCCTCTAAGGGTTCTATAAGGGCTTCTGTAAGGAGTTAGTATAGGGGTCTGAATAATTAGAATAGTCCTTTAATGGTTCTATAAGGTCTTAGTAATCAGAATAGGGTTTTGGGGCCCATTATACTAGAACTATAATAAGGAACCCCAAAAATAGTGGAAGTAGCTATGAATTAAGTTCCCTACAGTACGTTTAAAAGCATCTTCAGACCCTTCAATCCACGAATTAGGCTAGAGTTAGAGGCTCTCTGATGCTTTGTCGGGATTACGGTTCGGAGTTTCTACCTGTTGCAACATAAGGGCCGACTGTCGGCTCCTGTGCCTTCGTTTTGAGTTGCATCTGGTTAGGCCGATGGTTTCGGTCCTCCTTTTTGTGTTGGTTTAGGGTTTAGGGGTTTAGGTTTTTGGGTTTAGAGTCAGTTTCGAAATGGGGAGCTTCTGGCTTCAAGTGACGCAAAAGGAATTACGGCAGTCTGGGATTTGGGGTTTTGTATCCTGGCTCGGCAGCTGGTCGTACGACCCTGGTCTGAAGCTAAATCCAAAAAAACACCCTGCCACGTGACGAGGATGAACAGCAGGGGGTCGACATTCATAGTGCCGAACCTCGAGCAGCGAACTCCAGCCCTGCCCCCCGAACAACCAATACCCTGAGAACCCTCAAAAAACTCTCTGATACCCGCAAAACGCGTCAAGGACCCCATCACTCTGTAGTAGACCCTGACCCCAAGGCTCAAAATCTGCTCAGAAGCCAAACCCTCAAACCTATTAAATATGAACTATAAACTCTTCTAGATATTAAGGCCCCCATATTATAGTACCCTTATAGATCCCTTATAGTAGCCCTTATGGACCTTGCAAAGGGAACCCTTTAAAGGAACCTCTTGCCAAATAAATACTCTCCCGAGTCTGGTCTTGGCACCAGGGCTTCAATCTGTTTTTGTTAGGCCTAACGGCTTAACCCGGGTTTTCGGGGATACGGCTGTGGCCCGATAGGGTTTAGCGCTTAGGGTTTGGGATTGCGGCTGTTTGGGCTCTGGGAGCTGCCGCGGAAACTTACAACCGAGTAACTCTAAAGTATTCGGAAATTAGCTGCGGAGGTTCTGGGCAAAACTCCACACGGGCGTTTCCGAAAATGGGGGCTACCTTATTTGGGGGTCCTTATAATAAGGATCCTACTACCTGGGGTACTATATTAGGGTCCCCTATTTTCGGAAACTCCCACATTGCTAACAACCGAAGGTAAAGGGTCATGGTACTTAGTAAGTGGGGTTATAAGTAAGGTAACTATAGTTATCATTACTTGTAACCCCAGTTACGGTCCTTGCAACCCTACTTACTAAGTCCAATGATCCTCCAAGTATAAGCCTCTTGAAAGACACCCTGGGACCTGAGCCTAAATCCCAATGTAGGGGCCTTCTGACTCAACATTGGGTTTTGGGCTCCAATATATAGTTGAAATAAGGAACCCACGGACAAAGAATTGTAATTAGTGATTGAGGCTTCTACATTGGGCTCAAGCTCACATCCCAAGCCTGAACCTCAGGAATCAGCTGAGCAACGTAGAAAGGGTAGCTACGGGGTCTGTCGATGATATCAGCGACGCGAAGGCATACGCAGTTCCTGGGCCCGGCCAGGTTACGACAAACCCTGCACCAGCATCAAACGATATAGAGGGGTCCGTCATAAATAGCATGGGGATGGGCGCGGGGGGATGGTACATCATAGTAGAACTCTAGATATAATAGGTGCCGTGTGAGGAGATTGTGCGGCTAACTAGTCGTTTTAGCGGAATCACTGAGTAGTTACTCAGGCCCCCAGATTGGGGGCACCCTCAATGGCTCAACCCGAAAATTTTAGGATGGGGATTGGGCTTCTTTCGTTGGACTTTGAGCCGCAATCAAGATGGGAGTTTCCGAAATTTAGGGGTACCTTATTTTGGAGTCGTTATGATAAGGACCCTACTATTTAGGGTACTATAGTAGGGTCCCCTATTTTCGGAAACTCCCAAGTCACAAAAGAGATCCTCAAGCCTGGAGAACCGTGTTTGGGGCCTGGGGTGCTGGGTTTACAGTTAAGGCTGTACTCGAGAAATCCTGAGCACTAAGCCCTGAACCTATAGCCCTTGATGCGACCTCGCAGCCGCGTTCAAAACATGCGGTTTATGGGGTATAGGATTCCGTGCAGGCGTAGATGCCTATAAGAAATAGGGCTGTAGATTCAGGCTTTAAGATGGAGTTCAATATCAACTTGACCTGCATCTTGTACTGTTTGGTCTGCAAAAAATACAGCCCATTTCAGTCTAAGGCCCGATGCAGTTCCCTCTTTGGCTCAGAAAGTTTGATGGCCAGGACCCTACAAAAAGAAACACCACGGTAAGCAAACGAAAGAACTATACAAGCCGGGGAGTTGAACTGGAGACCACAGGTACCCATAGGCTCCAAAGTAGTTCCTTTTTGGGATTACCTTGTAGGATTCTATATACGAACCCCCAAAAAGGAACTACTTTGGGGCCTTAGGGTACCCAGCCCTTACCCCGCAGCAGGTTCCGGGTCGAATCTTTGAATGGCATGTCTTAGAAGCTGCCCCCACCCTGTGTAATATACCCTAAGGCCCCAAAGTAGTTCCCTTTGCGGGCTCGTATATAGAATCATATAAGGTAATCCCAAAAAAGAACTACTTTGGGGCCTATGGGTAAGGCTTATCTTAGGGCCCTATTATATTCCTATTATACCACTATTACAGGGTGGGGGCCCCTTCTAAGGCATGCCGCCTTTATCGAAGCTCAGCGGCTTTCATCGGTGATCCCATGGTACTGAGACGTGGCCAGCATGAGTTTTCCCACCACCACCTCTGATGTCTTCCAGACACCAGCGAGAACAAACTAAACAAGCAATAGCAGAAGGAATAATCAGCAGTAGAATGGCAGCAACTGTTGACTCAATGCGCATGAATGACCACAACATCATAACAGCAGCAGGTTGGGCAGCAGAAAGGTTGTCCATGAACATGGCACGGTGCAGACTTCAATGTGGTGATAATGGAAAAATCAGCATCACCACAATGGCATCTGCTAACCTCAACCATACGCCAACTAGCGCAATAATTTGAATGCACGGATGTGGGGCGCTTCAGCCTGTAAAAAATCTTCGACCGGGCATGCTGGACACTGCAGGCGGTGCAAGAAAGCTGAACGAGGCAGAAAGCTCTGTGCTCAAGCCCTTTTGCCAAGTCCATCGTTGCCGACAACACCCTTGTCCATTTGGAAATAATAGACAGAGCCCTATACCTATATCCCTTAGTAGGAATTATTTAAGAACGTCTACTTGCCGGTCTGTTTATTCCTTTGGTGGAACCATGAAAAAGGACAAGGCTGTGCCGACAACAGCGCGAAAACAATCTTCAACCGCCGTAGGCCCTCTGCCCTAATCTCGAGGCACGGAGAAGGTGCTTCAGCTAAGCACATGTCTCCGATCAGTTTCAACCTCTGCCCAAGACCAGGAAACTAGAGGCATATGTCATTTCTGCACCTTTTCCTTCCTTTACAAGTATCTCCTTTGTGTTCACTTAGAAGCCTTACCATGTGACCCCGCCCATCCGATAAGCCTTAGAAATGGGTCCAATCAGGTCCAGCAGCCACAGATATGCTAGTGCCAATGATGGCCAGCAATAAAATGTATCCGATCCTGGCTGGGCGCTGGAAGGACAAAGTGTTTGAGCAAGTTCGTGGGATGCAGGGTTTGAGGAGTTGGGCTTTACGCTTTTCCGTGCTGGGGTGTCAAGGCTCATGTTCTACGACACCCCGAAGCACTGCGCTTAGGGTGCATCATAACGAAGATCCCTCTAACCTATATGGGTGGTTGTCAAAATTATGGTCCCTTTTTTGGGTGCCGTAAATATTAGGCGCCGTATTTTGACAGGGACCCAAGACGGGACCATATTTTTGACAACCACCCATATAGCTGGAGGAAAATTATACAGAAAGGACTGTTGTGGCGTGTATACACCCCCCTCTCAAATTATAATAGGATCCCTAATATGATTTAAGGAGTACCTTAACCCCGAAGAACCTACATTTTTAAGGACTTATATAAAGAAATCATAATAAGGAAGGAACCCTAAAAAGGTAGGTTATTCAGGGTTAAGGTATTCCTTAATTGAGGGAGATTCGAGTCTCTGGGCACACTGTCAGCTTTAGCATTTCGTCTGTTGCGAAAGACATGGAGACATCTGGGGAGGGGGCTTTCCTTGCAGTTCAATATGGGGGTTGCCGAAAATAAGGAACCTAATATAATGCCCTAAATAGTAGGATCCTTATTATAAGGACCCCAAATTAAGGTCCCCTAATATAGAACCCTTATACTACCCTTATAGTAGCCCTTTAGGGTTCCTTGCAGTTCAATATGTTACGCAAGAACCTCGAGGCTTTCACCGGAGTGCTCCCGCTTGAGACCCTGAAACGCTTCCACTACCCCCGGTGAAGGTTAAAGTCTAAATGCTACTTGACCCTGAATAACCCTAAACCCTAAACCCTAAACCCGGGTTCCTTAATATGGTTTCCTTATATAGGTCCTCAAAAAGGTAGGTTCAGGTAGAGTTTAAGAGCCTTGGGCTTCATGTCGTTCGCAAGTAGCCGCATGCAAGGAGAGTTGAAGTCGGATTGAAAGCTGTCCTCACAAAGCGCCTCTATACTTATTTCATAATGAACTGTGAAACACCATACTAATTGTAGACCTCTAAATACTATGTACCAAAACCCAAATCCAAGTCTAAGTATTAAGGCCCCGACATGACTGCACAGCCCTTCTCAGGATCAGGCTGGGAGAAGAAATCGCGCTGTCGCAGCGACCATCCCGCCTCGAAGATGATAATTGGCCTTGTCGCGCCATTTTGGGGTTGGGGGGTTCTGGGTTGAAGGTTTAAGAGTTGAGGGGTGGGGGGGGGCTTAGGTCATTCGGTTTAATGTTTCAAAGGAAGGCTTGGGATGTTGGGCTTGTGGGTTTGACCTCAGTACCTGGGTTCGGGGTTTGAGGCTTGCGGCTGGGAGTGTCTCTTTGCGGTTCAGGGATTTCCGGGCTCGGAGTCTGGATGAATGCCAGGAAGCCCTAAAACCACAACCCGGATTCGGAGCTCTCGAATGACGAACCGCTTATTTAGCTCCGTAAACTGCTTGCGGAAGTCTTGTATGTCCGGGTCAGGAAAGGGGGGCAGCTCACTCTTCCGCCTCTGGGGCAAAAGCGGATTCGGCGCTGCAAGCCCGGAAGCGTTCGCGCTCTCTGAAAGCAACCCTGAAACGAAGCCAAAAGGAACCATAGAAGGACCCTTAGACTGAACTATAAACTGAACCCTGAAAGGAAACCTGAAAGGAACCCTAAAAGGAGCCCGGAGAGGCAGCAGATCTTAAGTCAGGCATGGTCTTTTCAACATCTCCCTCATGCGACCGGGCCGGTCCCCACGCCCGACGTCAGCCTACCAAAGGCACCTTGCACTTGAAGGCGCACGAACTTTTCGGGAAAAGCCAGCTCTGACGTGACATAACGACGTCCCGACTAGTTAGAAAAGCACAAGCCGATTAGCGCCAAGGGTGAGTTCCGTGGAGTGCCTGTAATAGCCATGTCTGCAGTACTGCACTACTTGGAGCTTAGACACCGTAATTCGTAAGAAAACCTTCTACGGCTTCTAGTAGCTTAGAGGGGGCCATAATCAGTGATATCTACGGCTTTGCAGTAGTCGGTACTATACAGCCAGCTGGCATGAGGATGTTAGTTTCCTGTTTTCCTGTCATATTCTGTCACACATCAAAAGCCCTGCTGCTTCGACACGTCGAGGTCGCGGGGGGACTCTCAAGATGCTCTCATCAACACCCTAAACCCTAAACCCCTAAACCCTAAACCCTGAAACCCTAAACCCCTAAACCCTAAACCGCTGCCGTGCTGACTCGGATTGGACTTTCGCACAGGGCTGCAACATCCAGCTACAAGTCTCGGTGTCCATGAAGAGCTCGACTTGTTCAGGGAACTTTCGGAGGAAGCAAAGCAGGTTCGGCTCCTGCACAAGCAGCACAGACTCGTCCAGGGACATTCCCACGAGCTGCCGAAAATGACCGCAGAATTCGTTCAAGGTCACACCCGAGAAGCCTTGCCCATGCTGACTTGCACAGTTCAGCAAGACTTCGGTTACTTGCCCGATGATGCTCGCCGGCTGGTTTCTTGCCAGTTTGGTACTCGCGACCTCAATTTCTGGTGCGTCACGGCAAAGTGCACGAGGAAGGTCAGATGTGGTCCGCGCACATGAAGACTTGTCACTACTCGCAGGACACTCTCGGGGCTGTGCATATGCGTCCGAACACTGGGAGGGTTGCGATATCTGCGTCTTCTGTGCCTCGCCCTGCAACCTCTGCAGCTCCTCCTTTTGCTTCCGCAGGGCGAATTGCAAATCGCTCTCTGTCGTCTGCTGCCCCTGCTCTACCGCCGGATCTTGCTGCTTACACTCCTCAACACAGCCACTCTGGCAGCTTTTCTCTTGCACTTTTGCATGCGTCGCCTGCTTGGCTCTTTCTTGCCGTTGAGTCTGGCCGAGCTCCAGTGCTGAGCCTGAGTCGCCTTGGTCCCGGCGCTTCTTCCGAGGCTCATTTGGCTCTTCCTCCGGCAGCTCATTGTCCCTCTTACTGCCCCAAGGCATCTTCAGGGACGTCTGGGTGGATCTGGCATCTTCTTGCAGCGGTTGCCTTGTCGCCTGCTGCTGTGAATTCGGTCTCGCAATCTTGGAATCAAGATCTCTCAATAGCTTCCGGGCCCTGAGCTCTGCATCCAATGTCACTTCCCACAGCCTGTGCTTCAACCTCAAATCGTCGCTGTTCTGAGAGTCGGTATGTGAAGATGATGCCGTCGGACTCGAGCAAAGCCAACGCTCGGCATCTTTCACAGCAGCCTCCAGGAGACAGGAGGCCTGGCAAACACGATCCCAGCCACCACAGAGATGGGCGACTGTGCCGTCCATGCTCTTAGGATGAAGCAACGAGGCCAGCTCTTTCTTGCGCCGAAGCTCAGCATCCTGGAAGCCTGGAGATAGTTCTAAGATCTTGAGGTACGGATGCAGCTCCGATGCGCTTTGCTCTGCCTGCAAGATGCGGTCGACCAATCTCTTGGTCTCTGCTGCCCGGGCCTCAACCATGCCTGCTGCACCGCTATACTTGAACTTTAAAACAATCTCCTCATGATTATACTATTTCGAGCAAGTAGAACGTGATGCATAAAGCCATATTTTTGTCGAAACGGACCCAGATCGCCGGTGTCCGGGCAGGGACAGTGTGCTCACGAGCCGCAGAACTGCCGTGCATTGTCCAGACACGAACAGCTTCAGCACAGTACACTAGAGCTCCACTTAACTAATTGATTGGTTACGGAGATATATTACTATTACGACTATCATTATTACTATTTTTATATGTGTATGCGCATGTGTATGTGTATATATATATATATATATATATATATATACATATATATATATGTGTAGGTATGAGTGTGTGTACAATTATATATATGTATATATATATATATATATATATATATATATAACTAACTGTATATGTATATATATATATATATATACACACACACTTAGCCTACGACTCAGGCCACCGGAGCCCTATAGGGGTACTGTGGTGTTAGGGCTCCGATCTTGCGCGTGCGGCTGCCCTCCCTTTGACTGTCTGTTTGTGCTCCCCTGAAAACCCTACAAGCCCATGTGCCCAAATAGTATATGCTTTACTAAGGGCCAAAGTATCTGTTACTTGGGGAAATGGACCCTTAGGGTAACCCCAAAAGCCACCTGTTCCCTTAACCCTAAACCCTGAAACCCTAAACCCTGAACCCTAAACCCTAAACCCTTAACCCTAAACCCTTAACCCTAAACCCTAAACCCTAAACCCTAAACCCTTAAACCTGAACGTTTAACCATAAACCCTTGTGCCAACAACAGTCGCAAGGAAGAGAAGATCCCAAATGCAATCACATTGAACAGGGATGTCCCCGTGGCACAGCATGAGGGCTACAGTTCCGTAGTACGTAGTTCAAGAGAAGTACTCTGAGACCTTGCAGATTCAGAAACTGCGGCTCTCGAATCCCAAACCCCGAAAGCGCAGATGCTGACGCTAATGCCAAGACCGCCAAGCAGTACTTCAGCCGAAGTGACAAGCAGTAGAGCTTGAGCGACAAGCCTTTGCTGTCTTGCAGCCGGCGGGTCGTATGACAGGGTTAAGGCGGGGCTGGCAGTTTGAGGGTTTAGAGTTGGACGATTCTGGGCGCATGGGTTCAGTGCTGAAGGGTTCTGGGTTAAACAGCTTAGGATTTGAAAGCTTAGGGCTTATTGGCTTTTGGGCTTCATAGGATTAGGGAATCAGCTGAGGGCTTTCAGTTTTATAGTTAGTTGAAGGATTTTGAAGGCCTGGTTTCCGTCCACCAAGGCATGTCGAATTGTAGACTTTCAGACTTAAGGGCTTTAGCATGTGCGGTTAGTGCATTGTCCAATTACTTCGAGGCTTGTTGCCTCACGAGCGTGTAATACATGAGTTTTGTCCTGACACGATGATACGGTTTACGATCACCCATCACCGTGACCATCACCATCACAAACATCATCATCATCATAATCATCATCATCATCATCATCACCATCGCCATCCTTGCCTGCTGCGGTCATCATCCTCGACATCCTGCCTGCATGCACCTGCATCTTCATCATGACCCTGTGCTTACTCCAGGATCTGTGACGGCCAGTGCAAATGGTGGTGCATGGCTGGGGCTCTCATGGGCTAACCATACTTGCCTTCTCAGTAACGCAACTGCAAAAGCAAGGTTTAGGGTTCTACTGTAGGGGCCTTCATGCTAAATATCGGGTTTGGGGGGGTACATATTTACTATAATCATAAGAAGGAACCGCCCAAAATAGTATAGGTAATTATTTAGGCCCCGGCCCCTATATTAGGTTTCGGGTTTTGACACTGAAATCCAATGATGTCCGCGGCTACCAAGGCCCAGGGCTTTAACATTAGGGTTTAGGGTTTAGCGTTTTGGGGTTTAGGGTTTAGGGGTTTAGGGTTTTGGGTTTAGGGTTTAGGGTTTACCTGAAGGGCTACAAGGTTTGGGATTTACCTACAGGCTTATATACCCTACCCCTTTTTAAGGGTATCCAGGTTTATGGTTAGGATCTGCTATATAGAAAAGTAGATGCCCTTAAACAAAAGGTAGGGTATGAGCCTACAGGTACTCTATGGCCCTACCCTAAGGCCCCAAAGTAGTTCATTTTTGTGAGTACCTTACAATATTCTATATATGAACCCCAAAAAGGAACTACTATGGGGCCTGTGGGTAGAGCTCGGAACCTCAGGCGGTACTGCCTACCAGGACGACCAAGGGTTCAGGCTTGTGTTTGTACAGGCATGGTGTTCTTTCTTGTCGGCAGGGGTTGGGCCACAAGGTCTTACCCTGGACATCCATGAATTCAACACCAGACAAGAACGGCCGCTACTGACACCCGTTTGGGGTTGAGGGTTGATGCTTCAGGGTAAAGGGCACGACACATGCTTGAAATCACGCAGAGACGACTTGTCGCCCCTACACAAATCTGTGCACTGCTACTATGCGGACAAGAACCAGCGCTTCGCAACAGCCCTATTATCAGTATAGACTAAACCGACAACGACCTTCTTCCGTTCGAGCGGCTGAAGAGGGCATATTCCACTGGCTTGCTGAGATAGTCTTTCTGACCGCCCCATTCACTCTTGTAGAGACCCTTGGTCACGGCAAACCCCATGAGACCACTGTATCGCAGCAGAAATAATGACGAATATCATGTGAACAGGTGAGGAAGCAACGACAGAGGTAGAAACCGGCAGTGTATCAGTGGCAGGTGTGAGCGCCGTAGCAGGAGTGATTGAGCTTCTCGCTGCTGGCGCTACTGTTCTTGTTGTCGTGGTTTTGCCGCAGCGGTGGTGGCGGAGGTTGTAGAGTTACGGCGCAAGTACCTGCGACAGTCACGGTAATAGGAAATGTTGTCGCTAGCAATGATAGTAGCAAGTGGTAGCAGGAATACGAGGAAGGAATGGCACTACCAGCAAACTAGTAGGCCTGCCATCTCTTTGAAGTGTTTCAGAAGAGTCAGTCGTATTGCATCATAACGCTGGCTGGGGCTTTCGGAACTTCGAGACCAAAAGATGCCTCAAACCGAAGCCATGAGACTTCACAGGCGTAGTGGGCCCGTAACCCTGAAACTAAAAATAAATACCACATCCCTAAAACCCGAAAACGAAAATCTGAACCCTTAGCCCTGAAACCCCTGAACAACTCTGACCTTCGCTGGCCCAGCAAATAGGAAGACATTGTACTGATGACCGAAGTCTTAGGGTGACAGCCCAGCATCTCAGCAATTACAGTACTGAGACGAACTTGAGCCCTCAGTCCTAAAAACCGTCTGTAAAGCACCTAAGCAAACATTCAGACTCCCTGAGCGATAAAATAACACGAAACATACACCCTACACCTGATAAAAGACACAAACCCAAGAGCAACTTCTTCAATTCGCCAAAACCTTAAACCCAACACCCTTCGCATCATAAACCCGATGCGTCGCTAGCCAATGTCCTAACCCCAGAGACACGGAATGTCCCAACGCCAAACAAACCCTAAACACCCCGTAACCCTAAAGATCATGCACATTGAACTACCCTGAGGCCCCAAAGTAGTTCCTTTTGGGGGTTCGTATATAGAATCCTATAAGGTAATCCCCAAAAGGAACTACTTTGGAGCCTATGGGTAGAGAAAACATAACCCACAAGGCACACCCAAAATCGAGCTTAAGGGGCGATGCTCAGCAAGCATCCCAGTGCCACCGCGATCAGCGACTCTGGGATGAAGGTGATCTTGCAGCCTTGTTGACATCCTTTTTATGTATGTATGTTACGTGTAAATATAGATAGACAGATAGATAGGCAGGCAGATGGATAGATATAGGGTCTTGGATTTAGGGTCGCCAGATTGGTCCCTGGGAGTTTTAAGCTTTAGTCTTTTGGGCTTAGGGTTTAGGGTTACCTAAACCCTAGACCAAAAACACGAAACCCAAAACACGACATCCTCCATGCTCAGAGGGGTTTCGGGTTTAGGGTTCCTGATGCATAATTCTGGCTTACGGCTTGCTTGACCTGCGGTTTGCGGTTCGGGTGGCCGAACAAAATTTTGACCAGTAGCTGCAGAGATACTATTCGCTAGGGCTAGGGGTTGCCAACTATAAGCAGCTATATTTATAGTAAGCACCGGCAAAGCCTACTCCAGCCATGCTTAAGGCCCTCTATTGCTTTCCCAGACACAGCGCTTCAGTCAAAACCTTGAACCCTCAACTATGCAAGCCGCCAGAAAGCTGACGCGCAGCAAGAGCGCCAGATGCAAAGCAGAAGTTGCACTCAACATGACAATGCCCCTACCACCCTAGATTCTAGATACACTAGATTCTGGATGTCCTCCTTTCATTAGGTTGAAGATCACACAGCCCAGAACTCGAAGAGGCCAACACTAAACTGGGTGGAGCTCGTTCTGTTGGCTTTCCAACTTATGGCTTACCTAAACCCTAAACCCTAAAACCCTAAAGCCCTCAAAACCCTCAAAACCCTAAAATCACAGTGAGGAGCGATGTAGCAAGTTTGCGAAAACAAGGGCCGCGATGGCTGTTCCGACGGATGCCAGGACCTGAGTTCCAGTAATATTACAAGGGTCTTCATAAGTAGGATAGGGCTCCTTTGAAGGGGTCCTTTAAGGGTTCTATAAGGGCTGCTCTAAGGATCTAGTATAGGGGCCTTAACAAGATACTATGATTATACTAAAGACCCCCCAAAATAGTCTTGGTAATTATTTAGGCCCCTATAGTAAATTCAAGGCTTATCCTGGGGTTAGCGTTCAGGCTGGAGGAGCCCTTGGTGAGCAGAATCCCGTCACCTCGCCTAATCCTGGAAGTCACATCTCAAAACCAGACCTGCAATGCATGCTTTAGATGGCTGCGGATTGGATACCGTGGACATCGTACCAAGCGGCCCCTGAAACCTCAACGTCAGCCAATTTAAAAACACTGCCCAACACCTTAGTCCGAACCCCAGACAGGAAGGCGCGACAGTCAGCACTTGA